ATTGAATTTTACATTGAGTCATGTAGGGAGGTGTAAGCTAACTGGTTGGGGCATACGAGATGTGAAGAATTAGCGACTGAAGACTCTTGATGACATGTGTGAAAATCGGCCACAATGGTGCGTGTACATAAACTCTTCGAAGCTTTGTACATTTTCATTTACGTTCATCTACGTTTTCTCTCAAGTCTCACGTTTTCCCACCCCGTTATGGCTTATTTCCTTTCCACTTATTCTTCATCTGCTGCTGCCAACCGTGCGAAGTTGAACTGATACACTTTTGTTCTATGTTCTAGATTGTTCTCTCCGAAAATAACCAACTGATTGCAACATCAAGAAGTTCAAAAAGGTAAAAAATTTAATGGTGAAGTTTTGTTAATGATCTTTTGTGTTGAGCAAATGATGCTTCAAAGTAACTACAATTTCTGGACACTGACGAATAAAAAAACTATAGGACAGGGAGCTAGAGACAGAATCCATCTTGAGGAAGTTTAAATATGAAATCGCTACCCAGTTACGACGATATATATCATCATATTGCGTAAAATCTCGATAAAAGTGGCAAATATGTCAGGTGTCTGATTCTAGACTACACTTCAGCATTCGATTTTGTCCAGAGACCTCTTTTGCTGAACAAGTTAGCCGGGATACATACTCAGTCCTGAATAATCAGTTAGCTGTATTACTATTTACGTGAAAGGTAACAATATACTGTTCACAAACAGAACCGCTCCACCTTACCAGTGACTCAGACTGATATTCATCAAGGCGCCGTCCTTTACTCAAGTCTTTTCTCTGTATGATTGGCCATCTTCGGCTAGTTTGTTTTATCAAATTTTCTGATGACCTGGCTGTTTCCATACCTGTATCCTCTTTATCGGATTGATCCCAGCTGAACAATTTCTTGCTTATTGTTAGACCACGATGAGCCATGAATGATCCTGTGCCTAGTTCTTAAAAGCGTCAGACTATCAACTTTAGTTTCAGGCGTGAACACAATCCAGGTAAGCTGCTTGAGTCCCATGTTTCCTCTCCTATCGATGGTTGTGTATTGCACAGTATTGCAAGTGTGATCTACTTCTGTGTGCTTTTTTCTTCATACCTTTCCTGGTGGTCCCATATCTTACTTATTTCCAGAGGAATCTTCCACCTAACTTACAAAGTTAGGAAGATAGGAGTATCTGACATGACTCAGCCTCTTCTTTTGTGTTTTACAAACTCCTGCATCCTGCGTATTCTGCTCTGTTTTTCAGGATTATCCCTTTTTGTCTTACTGAAAAAGGACTATGCTGTTTTGTGAAGGACTTTGAAGATTGTCGCTTGTATTATACCGTCGTTGATTGAACCGAATTGATCAGTCTCTATTGGCATATGGACTTCTATGCGGATGACTCGATATACCCGTATTCTAATTATAGTAAAGATGAACAGTGACGAGTAGTGGGATCCAGGATTCGTATATCGTTCTATTTGGGACTCGTCAGCCGAATGTACCTACCTCCCAGTAAGTGCTGTCCCCATCGGGACTGGAACTCGGGAGCGACTACCTCAAACGCCAGAGCGTTATCCACCACACCACTAAGCCACGATGGCCAGTCCTTGTGCGACGGGTATAGTTCCAATGTTATTGCTTGTATTATACTGTCGTTGTTACTATTAGCATTATCATTATAAAATGGGTACAGTGTGTAACATATGTGATGCTAGAGGATGGACTTCTTTGTTTCTCCAAAAACGTACAGCTGGAAGGCATAAAACAGTCTGATCCACACACTGAGGTGAAAATTTAACTATTCCAATATCCGGATGTTGAGACTGCTAAGATGAGCATACAGTTAGTGATGTTCTTTGTCATCGGTAGTGAAATGTGGTCCTGACTGCATGATAAAGTATTCAACTGAGGCTACGGTTTCAGGCGTTAACAGTTCGCCCAACTAGGTGGTCAGTCTGAAGGGGATTCTATTTTTGGCTGTATGAATTGAATCCCCATGGCTAATCTACTAAGGGCCCTTGTTACAAACAAGAGAAGCAGCTATCCAATTTGTAGACCAGGTTCACGTTGACAAGCTGTAACATCAAGAAAACCATATTGTACTTGTTGCACAATGAGTGACTGCCGTGACTCAGTGGCCGACTAAACAACGGTCTGGCATTTGTAGAGGTCGGCCCTGGGTTCGAGTCCTAGCGGAAACTACATCGTTGACTAGGAAGCAGGGTACATAGAGTTGATGAGTCACGAATTGGACGAAACGCACGTCTTTGATTTCACTGTTAGCCAATATCCAACAATAATAACAGACTGACGCAACTAGAGATCGGCACTGTTTATCGGTCGAAGTGGTCTTCAGTTATTCCTGTCAATCGGTATTATATAACGTGCACTTGTGACTAACCGTTGTCCAGCTGATATAACTGAATGCATATTGTTGAAATCTCTACTACTTTTGTTACGGATAAGTTAGTGAACTTGCATTTTCAATAGTCTTGTCGCTCTGCTAGCTAAATGTGGCAAGATTTGATGGATATCAGATAGTATAAATGACTGTATGACTTTTAAATGTCATTTAAGCATTTGATTCTAACTTTCGACAGCGTGTTTGTTAGGCGATCTCAGACAACTGTGTTATAATTCACATCGCGAGTAGAAGTAGTGGATTTCATAGACGTTTGTGGATACTCTGCCTTCTTTAATGTAGGAGTATAACTTTGAAACTGTGATAGATTGTAATTCCATTTCATTTTATCTCAGTTAAAGTAGGCCTAGTTAATAGGGCAAAATGCTTACTAGTAAGACAGAAAATCTGCGAGAAGGAACTGGACACCTCAAGAATACCTTGACTTTCCCATCTACATTCATCAATAAATTCGAAAGGAATAGAAAAAAGATATGAGCAACAGTAGTAACACAGGTGTTAATAATAAATCTACTAGTAAAAGTAATAATAGTAACTATAGTGTTGAAAGGCTTGAGGGGGAATTCAAAACTTCGATGTGTTATCATATACAGAAGCCTCCTCAGAAGCGTTATAAATAATTCTCAATAAGGCTGGGATTAAAGTGGCATTTCAATCAACAAACTCGCCTGGAAACAAACTTCGTAAGTTAAAAGATCCCATTGGTTCAATTAGGCAAAATAATTTGGTTTACCAAATCCCATGTAATGATTACTGAATCAATGTAGTCGAGCAGCTTCAGTTAGAATAAGAGAATACAAAACTTTACTAAATCTAGACTAGTATGTTCTAAGATAAGGAATCTGGAAAATAGTCTGGCTATACAGTTGCATACAGTCTTGTAGTGGTGTGAGAGTAATAGTAATAAAAACTTAGTTGGATGGAGGGAGAGATTGATAACCGAATCTTTGTCTGTCGAATCAGCACTAAATATATTCAACAGAAACGATTCTGCATCCATCCCAGATATATAGAAATTCTTTTACCCCTATCATCACAAAGGAGGAGAGACGATTAGAAGTTTATAAACCATGTCTCATAGTTGTGGAGTTACCCAATATGAATATGAACAGTAAATTATATCCACAACATTATCCAGTAAATAGTACTGTTCCGTCACTGTGTGACAATTCTCCTGAACCGTCTAAAATGTCCCATCTTTGTTTACTCTGTAGATTACTGCCATCAAGTCACACCTAGAACACTATAAACATTTTGTCACAGAAAGAAACCCAACTAAGAGCCACAATGTTATCCCTACATCATACACCTACTGAATACTCACCAAACAGTCTAATGATAATACTTTGATGTCGTGCAAGTGTATGATCAAGACAACAAACAAATTGAACCTTTTGGTGTACATTCTATCCAAGTGGGTGTTCTTTATTACTTCTCAGTATATTTACACTGAGCGATCTTCAGTATGAGTTAGAGGCGGTAACACATACACTGAAAATCCGTTGGCGCTTTGCATTTGTTTTATTCTATTCAGCAACTTCGTAGCAACTGTAAGCACAAGTGATGTATTTCTTGATGAAAAGCTTAACCGTTCCATTTTGTGCTGACTGATGATAGAGTTGTGACTGCTGGAATCTAATTCACCTCCGTACTCATCTCATCAGGGGTATGGTTTGATCTATCATCACTATTTCATGCACAGTACAGTGATTAGACAATGAAGAAACCGTCAGCCTCTAAAGCTGTAATACCTTTTTCTTTAGAGTTCATACTGCCGAATACTGATGGTCGATTGTCTAACCTTCATTTCGAAGTAACGGCTGGCAAGCTCCAACCCTTTTGCTTTAAATTACATAAATACATCTCGATGTTGTTTTTCGATCTTTTATTATAGCAGATAGGATGAGAAACTTAATAACCTTATAAACCAAGTCCTGTACTAGGACGAGACAGCTATCTGGTACGTTGATTGGTCACTGGAGGGTAACTAACTGCATGTCGTGATCGGTAGGATTCGAGCAGCACTTAGGACTAGACGACATGAAGTTGTTTACCCTCCAGTGACTAATCGATGTATCTAGTTCAGTCCTACACGAAACCAGTCCCTGCCTGAAGAGATCAGTGGTAACCTCACTGACTACACCACTGGCTGGCGCGGGTTCGATTGGCAGGCGGGATGTCATTCCCGTCAAGATTACGGACAAGTGTCAACAAGCACGAAACTTAGGTACAGTGCCTGCTGCTGATTACCCCTGTTCAACTAACAGCTATCCAGTACTTCCATGATTTTAATGGTTCTCCTGCTGATGTCAGTCCCTGGTGAATGAATAGCAACTTGAAATGTTCAGACCTCACAGATGTTAGTCAGTCAAATTTATTTTATCTCAAAGAACACACGATTCTTATCGCCTTGAAAGGAAAGTTATCTCAGCGGTATTTTTTCACTTGGTGCTTATTTTTCAAAGTGGAAGGAGTTATTCCAACCACCAGATTCTAGATATCCGGCTGAGTAAGTCGCATCCTGATTTTGTTTCTCCCCCTTGTTATTTCAAGCACAATATAAATATGATATTTGAGTGCATTTTAAGAGTTCGAAAGGAAAAAGACCAGAATAATCCTAATTTTTAATCGTCTAATCAATTTGGGCATTTATGCACTTAAGAAGGCAATATCATCATGTCATGTCAATCGGTTTCCTCTTTTAAAATTTCAACATATTATGATGAAGTTTACAAGCAGCCTTTCTAGCCATACATTCATTCAACTAAACACTTAAAAACTGTCATCACCCTGATCGATTATACTGAGTACCGCTCATAGGAAGCAAGTAGCGGAGTGGTCATATTAGCTGTGGGAGGGGGCGGAGTAGAATGCATCCAGTAAATATGTACGTGTGCTTTTAAACTGTTGATGGACCAATCCAATCACTGCAGTTTATTCAGTAAATATTAATCTGTATGGCATTTTACTCTTTAGTCTGGTTTTGTTCAACCTGGCGACTGGTGGCGTGTTGGTTTTAGAAGTAAAGAAGAACTTACAAAAGTACAGGATTCAAAGTTTATTTTTAAGACAAATTTTCCTTGAAAGGAAGTGACTCGATTTTTTTATCGTCCTGCATACTATACACCTCTCCTTGAAAAATACACTATATGGATTCGGAGGGTTTCTGGTCATCACACAGTCATTCTTATAACGACCAGTTGAAAAAACTCTGTGCGTCAGGGATTGACTTGGCGTTGACTTCCAGTGCCAATATCAGTAAGTGTGGACGACTTCAATCTTTGAGTAAAAGTGTTTCTTTTTTCGAATTTTTTCAATACCTTTTATTATCAGTAACCAGAACACAATTAGTATTTCAATGATTTTAGTGTTTTATTTGTTGTTACTTGTATTATCACACTGATGACTGGGCCGAATTGATTAGTTTCTATTGGTATATACGCACCTGTACGAACGCCTCAATATTACTTGCAGTTTGACTTCGATGGTGATGATGGACAGTGATTAGCAGTGCAATCTAGAATGAGCGTTCCGTCCTAGTTGTAACTCATCAGCTGGATGTACTTACCTCCCAGTGAGCGATGTTGGACCTACTAAGGCTTGAACTCTCAATAGATAGCTTCAAACTCCAGAGCGTTATCCACCAGGCCACCGAGCCAAGATAGCAGACATCCTTGTGTCCTCATTAACTCCGTTACCTGGCTGAAATTTTCTCAATGTATTTCAAGGCTTTTCATTTCCATAAAAATGCTTCTCCATTTTTGACAATACTGAATGGACACATAGTTTTGATAAGTTTGTTTGTTTTTCTAATCCACACGTTGTTAGCGGAGTACTTCAAGGTGATTGTGAATGGAGAGTTATCATAAAAGAAAGGCGAAGATCAGTCCCATATTCATCATGGTGCATGAACTCAGCGTGTATGCCCTAGATAAGGTGAATTTACATGAAATCGAATTTCATTCTTTCTTTCAAATTATACTGATCAATGCATTTGCTTGTATGTTCAATTGAAATGATTCTCAGATAGAGAGCTTAAAAAAACGCACTCAACCACCTTATTCAGATTGGCGCAGTAGACAGTGAACCACACCTACTGTTACTGCAAGTGATTCCACCTGGCCTCCCAAGCTTCACTGCGCTTGGCGGGGATTGAATCAGTGACCCTCTTGTGCATGGCTGTCTCTCCAAACCACTAACCCTTAGCAGAAAAGTGGTTCACATGTCAGTATTTTCGTGATCATCTTTGGAATATGCAGTTGCTGCCGTTCATCGGCTCAGTACATGGATTATCTGATAATTAACCTGGTCGCTGAGGATCAGGAGACTGAGTCATCATGGCTTTGGAATGACCGACACCTCATAAAAAGACTGTTATACTTCGCATAGACTCACCTCAGATAGTTGCCTCATATCTTTATATCCTTATTACGGACAAAGACGTTGAAATTGTGCAGGTCTTGTGTCCGCCAAAGTCCGCCCTCTCTCTGATGTAGTGACAAGCAGTATGACTTTCTACGTCATTATACTCGTAAGCCGTAAATTGATATTACACTTTTTCTCGTAGTCATTATCTTCACAGGTCAAAAAGAGGGAACATAAGAAAAACGTGTATTAAAAACTCGGGGTGAAACGTGAACTTCTGCAACATTGTCATATGTTTCACGCCTTACTCTTTTTCGGCCCCTTGTTCTGCACCGCCTTTTTTCGATTCTTCCTTGTTTATTGAGCATTTTGTCCTACGTTCTATGTCTACAGCCTTTGGTTGATACTTCGTCACGAAATTATATTCACAGTTGGCACCTAATTCATTTCATCTAGGCCTCCTAAGCTAAATTACTTAGGAAAAATCACATATCTTCAAGTTAACCTTACCCTAAATAAATACATTGATGCAACTAGTACAATGCAATGAAGTTTCGTACTAACTATATATTTATTGTCGGACAATAAAAGGTCTAAGAATGGTTTTCACTACAAAGAGTCACTCAGTCATTGCTGCCGAACTTCTTCGTTCAATGACATCGCATATTACAACCTGCCGCGACTGATTTTCTTTGCTTTCCGTGCTCCGAAAGTGAGCCTAACTTTGACAGTTAGTCAAGGTTACCTAAGTAGGTAGGCAATCATTTTTTATTTTCCCACCATCTTGATCTGGAAAGTTGTAGAACCAAGCTTTGATACACTTTCTGTAGTTGCTGTCTCAGTAGCTTAGGCCTTCAAGTTGAGTCAACTGGAAATCCCTGGTTGGGTCATGGGTGTGTACTGCTAAGGGGTCCCATACTTAGGATGAAACAGCTGTCAAGCGCTCCTAAGTTTCTAATGTTTCCCCAATTGATGTTAGTCCGTGATGAATAACCACTTCAAAAATCACTAAATCCCCACAAATCGCAAAATTATATTCTCAATGGCTTCTCAGAAATATAAATCGTTTATGCTAATTAGAACTGATTTTGAACGGTCATTTCGATCGGTGTCTGCTTGACACCTATCTTCAACTTCGTACCAGACCAAGACAGTTGGAGGATGAATTCGTCTCGAAAGATGTGACGTAACATTGCGTTCACTGTCACCCCCATGCTGCTAGAGTTGGGGTTGTACATTTCCTCATACTAAAGGGGTCGATCTGTGTATTTGCACAACTTGTCAAGCTTGTGCGGAAATCTTCTTTCGAACCTGTCTGAAGGTAGTGGAGCTTCACCAGGTAGCTTTAAGATTTATTTTATTTATTTATTTGTCCCTTGGGTTCCTAGTGGAACATGGGGCTTCATTAGCACGTCTCCATTGCATTCTGTTCTCTACAGTCTTTTGAACCTGGCTCCACGATTGCCCAGAAAGGTAGCTTTAAGATGCCCAGTTTGATGTTTTTGGAAGATCTGCTGGCATTTCTGGCACCTTTGTTTTCAAATTTTTGAATATTTTCTCGAGCTTCAAATGATATGTCTTACATCAAGCAGATTTCAGTAGCTGTACTAAATGCGTCATCTCTGTCTATGTTTTCCTCATTCGTTTCATTGAGTGCACCTGCTAACGTTCACTTAGGTTATACGACTTTAGTGTACCTTCGCGGCTTTCCTTTATGTGAACATGCATTCCATCAACTGAAGTGTTACCAAGGGTGTATTCAGTTATGTTATTTTCCGGAAAATGTTAAGTAGAAGTTATCAGAGGGTATGAGAAACCATACTGACTGCAGTTTTCTGATGCATTTACCAAACCTGTGCGGCCTGCCAACAGTTACAGATTTCAGGACCTCTTCCAGGATTATTCCTTATGTAGAATGTAAGCAATCCTTAACAAAGTCAACCTTTACCTTCTTGCGTTGACGGAAAACTGTTCTTCTATGAGGAATACGCTTTCTACGATCTACGAGTACATTTAGGTAAGAACTATAACATTGAGTTCCAGACCTTCACACACAACTCCACCAGAATTTAGTGCACTGGAATTCGTTATAAGTCTTATCTGATTTATAAAGTTAAGAAATCCACGTCACTGGAACAAAGAGAGTTGTTTGGAGACCACTAAGCGCCGATGATAGCTACTTAGTTCAACACCAAAGGATAAATATCGCTTAAACTCTCACGCTTGTAGCTTATTTAGCTATGGCTCACACATACAATTTGGAGATAATCTAAATTAAATGTACTATGGAATGTAGTGTCCTTAAAGAGTCGATAATAGATAGGTTCGTTTAAGTCAGACAAGAATGCTGTCATCTATAGCTCTAAAGTATTCGTAACCTGAAGTCAAGAATTTATCCACCAGAATTTAGGCTACTAACAAACAGTAAGTAGTGTAACTCCTAGGACAAAGTTTTCTTGGTCTCAAGTTTTACCCCCTGTTCCTCACGATTTGTTGTAGCACACTTTTGCTTCTCCGCGTTTTGCCCTTCTTTTCTTTCAATTTCCCCCAAGTCCTGAAAATGGTCCTGTGTTTTGTCTGACATCTCCCTGCGTTTCCCGCAAAAATCTTGACTAAGTCTGTCAGTCAATACTCTACAATATCTAAGTGGTAATGTAAGTAGGAAGTCTCGTAGCAGCTAGACGAGAAGACTTCCACACTGGTGGGCGGAATGAATTTGAAGATGAACTTCAGTTCAGTTCTGTCCCAGCTGAACATAACCAAGAAAACAAAAAGTAAAAAAACTCTGCTCTACCCCACTCGATCACTTCAGGATATCATACAGCCATAACCTGCCCAGGCTTCAATTTGACACTGTTCGATCCCGAAATACTAGATCAACACTTTATACTCAATTTTCAGCTTATCTACCAGTGGGACCAATCTCATTATGAATATAAGTAGCTGTGAATTCAACCTCTGGACGAGATTGAGATTGTTCTTGCATAATCAATCTTTGAATAGGAAAAAGACGTCTGCCTTAGTTATAAGCATATAGGATTCCGTACAAAATTGTTTTTGTAAAATAAGAGTTTTCACCAGGAGAAAGTCAACCACATGGCTAAGTGAACTGATTATGTAGAAACCACTTGTTAGTATAAGGAACAAAACCTCCTGTCTTTCGATCGACCAGAAAACGTATGTAAACTGAGTTCAATTCAGTGCTTTATCGATTAAAGGTTTGTATCATGCGTGGAGGGGGAAAGGGATAAAGGCTATTGAGAGGTTGAAAACTTTTTTGCTTGTTACCAATATCATTTTGTTTTCGAGGAAATTCACTTGGATTACGTGCATAATAGTGCCAGTTTGTTACAATATTATATCACTGGATTCATTATCATGATTTACTACGACGCCAAAAACTGTTTCTATCCATTATTGCTGGATAGTGGAGTCCTGAAAGCACTTTTTATCCTATCTTAGGCTCATCAGCCGAATTTTCCCTCCTCCTAGTGAGTAATGTTGTTCCCACCGAACCTCAAACCCCGAACCAGACACTTTAGACTCCAGAACATAATCCATTGCTTCACTGAGTCACGATAGCCACCCCTCATGCTACAGGTGTAGTATAGTTTCAATGTTCTGGATTGCAATTCTTCACCATTGACTGGATCGAATTGAACCAGGCATCAGTAAAGAAACCTATATACAGAAGATTTCGATCCATTTAACAACTGAGATCTACAAGCTGTAAAATCAAAGCTGTTTCTATCCACCTAAACTACTGATTGGTTCTACGTATTCTTCTAGTGAATTAAGGTGTATTTATATTTTCTGATAAGTGTGGTCTCCAGTTCGTATACTCCGCCGAATTGCTCCCATGAGAATGCCTCGAAAGCGCCCGACTATGCATTATGTTATAATCTACTCTCTGGCTAGTCGTGGGATCCAGGATGCGCATTTCGTTTCATTCAGGACTCACCGGCTAGATGTACGTGGAGCCCGGTGAGTGTTACTTCCACTTAGATTCGAACGCAATATCCATCTCTTCAAAATGAAAGTACAAATTTAATACTCTAGGCTGCAATCAGTCAACAAGATACAGCCTAAATAAAATTAAAATGGATCCGTTTAGTTTTCTTTGGGTGTTTTCAACTTGATAAGTGTTTGAAATATTTCCTGTGTCACGTGTATGCTCTGAAACTGAAACTACAATCTCCGACAAAAGCATTCCCTACCACCCTCAGTGTATCCAGCCTTAGATTCATTTAGTTTGACTCTAATCAATAATTGGCAGACTGAAGTACACGGGATGAAGTTTTGGTTTTCCCAAGGAAGTGCACTGATGACAGTATTGCTTTTTTAAATGAAACTTTTTTTCTACGTATATGCATACCACAGTGGATGTGTACCCTAAATCTTCTCTGTGAAGTGATCAGTTTCGCCAAGCCTGATGCTTACTGGCGTATTTAAGGTGATGATGTACACATGGAGTACCTTGAAACTCTAATTAATTAAACAAACAGTTGCATGTTTCTGTGTTCGGAAGACACCCTAAGTTTTTCAGTCTAAATTTAGTCAACGTATGTCAAGTAAAGTGTTCCATGTGATTAGGCCTTATTTGGAGAATGAAGAGGAACGCCATGACTTCATTAACTGCATAACTGAGAGTGTCTAAAAGCATACTGCTGATTGTTAGGGGAGGTTATTGCAGACAATTAAGCGGTGGTCGTAACTGCAGATGAAATGAGAACTTGGCTCACTACAGTTTTTGAACCAGCAGCCCTACAGTATTGTCACAGTGTGCTGAGGTGTGTTAATAGTGGAAAGGACTGATCGGTGCTGTTCCACAGTGTTACTCTTCTGTTATCGGTTGTCCGCAATTAGGCTCATTACTTGTTTTGACTCGTGTCAACTGGAATGAATATAGGAAGAATAATATGGTTAAACAAAAGATTCAAGGGCAACTGAGTAAGTGCCGAAAGACGCACAAAAGCAGGTGGCACAGTCGGAAACTGTTGTATTTAAGTTTGTGTATGTTAAGTGAACGAAGTAGACTCTTCAGTCACAAATGTGGTGTATTTCTAGCAGTCAGCTTTGATCATGCTGAAACGTCTGTGATGAGTTGAAGCCCAAAGCGAAAAAGGAAATATGTGACTGCACGCCTGGTTAACTAGTTTACTAGTTACTAGCCGGTCCTAAGCCCGGGTAAAGAGGGAAGGTTGGGCATAGGGCTAGCAACCCTACCCCGTAAAACAAATCTAACCGCTAAAGAAACTTCAAAGCACAAACAAAATATAAAAAATGAAAACAAACTTATTCCCCGCTGGAATCGGAGAGGCGAAATGACGCCAGTTGGTGAAAGCCTTCGGGAAGCCAATTGGCCGATGTGTCTTCTCTCGATGAAAGCGAAAGTAAACGTGGGGACATGGAATGTCCGCACGATGTTTGAACCCAGTAAGGCAGCCCAGATTGCAAAGGAGATGAGAAGGTATAACATCGAAGTGCTTGGGATTTGCGAAAGCAGATGGAATGGGAGTGGACTCTCCAAACTGTCAACTGGAGAATCAATAATCTACTCCGGTCACCCAGACGCCAACCACGAGCACACTGAGGGAGTGGCTATCATGATGTCCTCAAGAGCATCGAAGGCTCTCATGCAGTGGGAACCAATCTCCTCCAGGATCATGTCAGCAAGATTCAACTCAAAAGGAAGAAAGGTCACAATCATACAATGTTATGCACCTACAAATAATGCAGAGCAAGAGAAAAAGGAGGAATTCTACAGACAACTTCAGTCAACACTGGACAAGACGTCAGTTGGCGATATCAAAATTCTAATGGGCGACATGAATGCCAAACTGGGAGGGGACAACACGGGAAGAGAACTAACCATGGGTCGAGAGGCGCTAGGTGAAATGAATGAGAATGGAGAATTGTTTGCAGAATTCTGTGCATTCAACGATTTGGTGATTGGAGGCAGTGTGTTCAGGCACAAGGATATCCACAAAGCGACATGGATTTCACCAGATGGACACACTAAAAACCAAATCGACTTTATCTCAATCTCAAGAAAATGGAGACGCAGTCTACTTAACACAAGGTCAAGAAGAGGAGCAGATGTAGGTTCAGACCACTATCTAGTGCAAGGAACCTTCGAAATCAAGTTAAAAGCCTTCAAGGAAGCTGGTGATAGACCTCAATTCAAGTACAACACTCGGAAACTGAAGGATGAAACTACAAAGGAGATCTTCAAAGCAGCCATCAAGACAAAATGGGAGACGTCGAGGGACATCCCTGAAGAAACCTGTGTAGAAGAACACTGGAAGTCTTTGAAAGCTATGTGGAAAGAAACCTGCACAACAGTATTAGGAAGGAAGAAGAAAGAAGACAAGGAATGGATCTCGACGGATACCTGGAAGCTGATAGAGGAGAGGAGGATGGTGAAGCAGAAGATAAACCAGTGCAAGGATGCTCAACGACAAGAGGAACTGAGCACAATGTATAAAACACTGGATAAAGAAGTGAAGAAGAGTGCACGCAAAGACAAACGACACTTCTACGACACACTGGCAAGTGAAGCAGAACAGGCTGCAGGTAAGAGAGACCTGACGACATTGTATCAAATAACCAGGTTGCTATCAGGGAAGAGACCAACACAGATGAAACCAATAAAAGATGAAGAAGGAAATTTAATTACAAAAGAAGAGAAACAGAGGAAACGATGGGCCGACCACTTCAAGAAGCTCTTGAATCGACCACCACCTGCACTTCGTCCAGAAATACCACCTGCAGCCGCTGAATTACAAGTGAACATAAATCCCCCAACGAAAATGGAAGTCCTGAACGCCATAAAGCTACTGAAATGCGGGAAAGCAGCAGGACCAGATGGAATACCGCCAGAAGCACTGAGAACAGATGCAGAGACAACAGCGGACATGCTCACACCACTATTGCAGAAGGTGTGGAGGGAAGAGAAGGTACCTGACGATTGGAAGAAGGGTTACCTTGTCAAACTGCCGAAGAAGGGAGACCTCAGTGCTTGCAAGAACTGGCGAGGAATCACTCTCCTATCCACCCCAAGTAAAATATTAAGCCGCATCATCCTGGAGAGGCTTAAAGACGCACTGGATTCAAAACTGCGACCGGAACAGGCAGGCTTCAGGAAGTACAAATCATGTGCTGACCAAATTGCAACGCTTCGTATCATCATAGAACAGAGCGTAGAATGGCAATCAGCTCTATACCTCAACTTCATCGACTTTGAGAAGGCCTTTGACAGCGTCGACCGAGAAGTAATTTGGAAACTGCTTCAATACTACGGAGTACCGCAAACCTTTATCCGCCTCATTCAACAACTATATGAAGATGCCACATGCCAAGTAATCCACAATGGGAAGCTCAGTGATGCCTTTGAAGTGAAGACAGGAGTGAAACAAGGTTGCCTACTATCCCCCATGATATTCCTAATTGTGGTGGACTGGATCATGCAGCAAACAGTAGGCAGCGAGAAGAGGGGGATACACTGGACGACGGAAAAGAACCTAGAAGACTTGGATTTCGCCGATGACTTATGCCTAATGTCACATAAACTTGAAGATCTGCAGGCAAAAACTAACAAGTTGACAGAGGAGGCAGCTAAGACGGGACTTCAGGTGAATATAGAGAAGACAGAAGTGATGAAGATACCGCACCACCACCATCAACAACAACAACAAACTCCAATCACCGTCAACGGTAGAAACTTGAAGGAAGTAACCTCCTTCACTTATCTAGGAAGCACTGTTTCAACTACAGGCGGGACGGACGAGGACGTCAAAGTCAGAATCGGAAAAGCAAGACAGGCATTCATTAGCCTGAAACCAGTGTGGAGATCTTCTGCACTCAGCATGCGGAACAAGATACGGATTTTCAACACCAACGTCAAGTCAGTGCTCTTGTATGGCTCAGAGACTTGGCGCGTCACGAAAGGCATTTCCAATAAACTACAGACATTCATCAACAACTGCTTACGCTCGCTGCTGAAGATCAGATGGCCAGAAAAAATAAGCAACAAGGAACTCTGGGAACGAACCAACCAAGAACCTATCACGCAACAAATATGCAGGAAGAAGTGGAGATGGATTGGGCATACACTGAGAAGGCCGACTGAGGACATCACGCGTCAGGCCCTCGAGTGGAATCCCCATGGGAAGCGACGAGTTGGACGTCCGAGGGTGACATGGAGGAGGTCGTGCGAGGAGGAAATGAGAGCTTCTGGGCTGTCGTGGAACCAGGTTCAAAAGATCTCAGAGAACAGAGGTCACTGGAGGCGTGCTACTGAAGCCCTATGTTCCACTAGGAACCCAAGGGACTAATAATAATAATAATAATAATAATAATAATAATAATCACGCTAGGACAATGAAGGTATGATGATATTGTTTGAGAGTGGCTAGTGGTCGAACTAGCATCCATCACGTTTCCTGCGGTGTGTGATTGGTTAGCTGGTTGTGACCACATCCATATTGGTGTAATCGCTGAAATAGGAATTCAGCTTTACTCATCTTTGACACGTTAATATCAGACAGAAACGTTCCCCACTTCTTCTCAGCTGATTACAGACGAATAACAATGATTTCTGAAATCAAACGGGTTAATTTGTAAACACTGCATTCAAGTGTAATTACTTCCACCACTTTTTACCCTGAAAACAGTTTTACACCACTTGAGAGGTAAACACTGTTCAACGACACTATGAAATTAAATGCTCTATGTTTACTTTTCTTGTTCTCTTGCAGACGACAAAAATGATGCTACATCATGTCGATTCAACTTTACATCAAACCATTCACAGATTTTTCACGGAGACAAAGTTCTTCATCTGGGAACAGCACTCACTACGAAAGGTTCAACCTTGACAATCGGAAGACCATGTCTGGCCGGTACACAGACGCAACAGCAAGAGCATACACCACCGACTACAAGCTCATCGTCACCAAGTGCTGTTCACAGTGAACGAAATTCTCAGCTATCTAAGTTACGCCAACTACAACAGATGTATCAAAGACTGACTGTTTTATCTGCAATAAAGGGTAATAAAGTAGGCGGAAAGAGTGAGTCGAAGTTGTTAATTTACTATTTAACCATGCCACTTAGTATCAGAGCCCTGGTTTACTAATGTAAACAATAAGTTATCAATAAATGAGTTGTATAATTATGAATCCTAATTCAGTGCATTCTCTCTTGGCAGATGTGTAGTATCCCTAGCACCTAAGCAGTTATTAAGGGAAAATAGGTTTGCATACCAGCTTGTATACAAAGTTGCTTCTTTGCAAATGGAAAATTAAATTCAACCCATGTGTACTCTATGAAGACCACCAGGGTGTTTAAAAGTGGTTGTATTGTTTACTCTACAGGATTTATGAAAATGAACTGGAGAAATAAACCTTTTGGACTGACTAATCTTGTTCCTGTGTTGTCCCCTCCCAGTTTGGCATTCATGTCGCCCATTAGAATTTTGATATCCCCAACTTGGGTGGTGTCTTGTCCAGTGTTGATTGAAGTTGTCTGTAGAATTCCTCCTTTATCTCTTGCTCTACATTATTTGTAGGTGCATAACATTGTATGATTGTGACCTTTCTTCCTTTTGAGTTGAATCTTGCTGTCATGATCCTGGAGGAGATTGGTTCCCACTGCATGAGAGCCTTCGATGCTGTTGGGGACATCATGATAGCCACTCCAAAACTCAGTGTGCTCATGGTTGTCGTCTGGGTGACAATATCGGAGCAGATTATTGATTCTCCAGTTGATAGTTTGGAGACTCCACTCCCATTCCATCTGCTTTTGCAAATCCCAAACACTTCAATATGATACCTTCTCATCTCATTTGCAATCTGGGCTGCCTTGCTGGGTTCAAACATGGTGCGGACATTCCATGTTTCCACGTTTACTTTCGCTTTCATAGAGGGAGAGAAGACACATCGGCCTGGCTAATTGGCTTGCCGAAGGCTTTCACCAACTGGCATCATTTCGCCTCTCCGATTCCAGCGGGGAATAAGTTTGTTTTCATTTTTTATATTTTGTTTGTGCTTTGAAGTTTCTTTAGCGGTTAGATTTGTTTTACGGGGTAGGGTTGCTAGCCCTATGCCCAACCTTCCCTCTTTACCCGGGCTTAGGACCGGCTAGTAACTAGTGAACTAGTTAACCAGGCGAGGTTAAATCTTGTTGAATTTAATTATAATAAGTTATTGTTATTGGACAATTTTAATGTAGGATGCCAACAAGTTTGTTGAATCTGGAATAGCTTAATTTCTAATTGTATATGCGACTTTCCTCCTGTCTACTTTATCCTGTTCACCAAGTTAAAGCTAGTTAAACTATAGTGTTATTGCTTGTATGACACCGTCGGTGATTGGACCGAATTGGTCAGTCTCTGTTGGCATATGGGCTCCTGTGGGGATGCCTCAATATTGCCAGTGTTCTAATTATGTTAACGACTGATCGTGGCTAATGGTGGAATCCAGGATACGCATTTCGTCCTATTTGGGACTTGTCAGCTGGATGTACCTGCCTCCCAGTAAGTGATGTTGTTCCCATTGAGTTATTCCCGAGTCCGAGTCCCGGTGGGAACAACATCATTCACTGGGAGGCAAGTACATCCAGCTGACGAGTCTCAAACAGGAAAAAATGCACATCCTAGATTCCACTGCTCATCATTACTATAGTTAAACTATAAATGAGCTTTTTATTATTATGATAAACAGGTTCCACAGATTCACTTGCTCAAAGGCAAATTCTAAGTATTAGAGCATTATTTTAACCAGAATTGACCCAGTTATGTGAAGAGGACCCCAAAAATCTTCAGCATCATTCAAACCGAGTAGTGAACGACTCGGTTGTCCTAAAAACCGGTCACCAAGTCATAATCATCATGTTATGCGCAACAACTCAACATCTTGTAATGAAAATCTTCTTCGAACTAGTCTATCCAATACAATAAATTCATACGTCTAGAACACCTCCAATGGAATGCATTCATTCAACATTTGTGTAAAGCAGAGTAATAAATAGTGAGAATTCAACAAATGACAGTAGACAGAAAAATCGACCGTCGCTTTCAAACTGTAACCAGTTATTTAATTTAATCCCATAGGTGGATGTTAACGACTTAACAATTAATTTGTTTTATCAGGCATCATCTATAAATTTGAATAATTTTGCTCTGTTGATTAGTTTGTTGTATCCAATTCTGCCATAGTCTAATAATACTTAGAGATCGAAATGTCAAATGGATGTTTCTTTTCAACATCATCAACTTATAACATGAGACAGCAGTTTGACTGCATAATATTTTCCAATATCCTTCTAATTACATGAAATGCACAATGTTTGCTTTTCTTGTTCCCTTTTAGATGACAAAAATGATACTACATCATATCGATTTAACTTTACATCAAACCTTTCACAGATGTATCATAAAGAGAACGTTCTTCAACTGGGAACAGCATTCACTAAAAGTGCTGAGAGTGATTTATTCCTATCTGATATTGAAAAAGCTGCAATTGTCTACAGAAATGCAGCAGGTTAGCTTTCTTAATGACTATCATAAATTGACAAGAATGGCTTTCCCCAACAGACTTCCTATTGGTAGTTAGAATCAGCATACATCATATCAGGAATGGCTGAGAAGATGAGATAACATTCATATGTAGACAGATTTGGGTACAAATGTAGGATTTAAACTTAGGGACTGTAGTAAAATGTAATTCCATTTTAGTGGATTTACTGGATTTATCACACAGTGGAACAGTATTGTTTACTGGATTACTTTTCATACATAATTTCTGATGTCCATAGTTATATCAAGATAACTTCACAACTTTGAGAAATGATTGTTAGGGTTCTAATTTTTCGCCTCCTTTGTAATATGGGTGGTATAATTTTCCATATATTCGAAGCTGATGCCGAGGCATTCCTGTTGTGTGTATTAGGTGTTGATTCAGTAAACGAAGTTTCGGTTATCAGTCTCTCCGTTCTTGCTCTCAATCTCTTCCATCCTACCCTACAATAAGATGCAAGAACATTAGAACCATATAATTCATTCCTCAAAGTTGTGGAATTATCTACGTATGACCATGGAAGATGAATTATATCTGAAACGTGATCCAGTAGACAATGCTGTTTGTGATACATCTGATAAACTAACTAAAATGGCTACAAGTAGTTCTCAGCAAAAGTGAATCAGTTATCCAGATTAACAGCTGTATTGTATCGCCTCCGAACTTTCAACAGTCTTATACTACATCTAGTGGTTAGCGTCTGCACGACATCTGCTTTTGTTTATCACAAGTGAACCATTAGCATTATTCAACTCATCTCATAAAACGGTTTGCTGTTTAGCCTCCAGTGAAAAATAACGTAAAGAACTACGAAATAGAATGAGCCATCATGAACTGCATAGTTTGATCCTTGTACATTCACATAACAGACTGTATGAGCCCATTGTGTATCCATCAGTTATGCATAGGTCATAGACGGACGTCACTTAGTTGAGAAGAATATACATTGATGGATCACTGGACAGCATTCATTTCAATGTTTTCTAGTCATAATTCCTGACTTAAATCTTACAAACGCTTTTGTAATATGGTCAGCAAGGTACGATATTCAGGATCATCGTGCACTTGAATTGTTCCAAGGTGATGAGAGGCAACCGGGATAGAAAGCCCTCTTGATCTAGATTCCCTGCTCTCTGCTGCTCCTCAGCAAGACATACTTGCAAATTCAAAGGGGCTGATGTCCAGTGAACTATTCAGTGGTAGTATCTCTAACTGTACCATTGAATGGGGCGACTTCAACTCTAATGGGACATAAGTTTCTTCCAAGGTTGCAGATATGCCTTACTGACGAGTGCCAGTTAGCTCAAAATTGAGATGGAATACACCTCCCTGCTGGTTGCCTCTAATCACATTTAATTCATCTTAGTGATATCTCAACATTGGTTGGACTACACATATGTTGGAAGGGCCCACTCTCGCAAAAAACATTGTTTTTGATCGGAACATTTTCAACTTGTCATTTTCACACGATTTTTACAGCATGAATAGTACTTTATTTTCTGCCCCATTGTAATGTAATTCGCTGATTGGTTAATCGTTACTATTACCACGTTAATGCGTCAATTTACGGACAAAACCATATTTCACATGTTTTTTAATTAGGTGATTATTATTATTCTCGGAGGAATAAACTCTCCGATACAGCTTCGGTCTTCTCTGTTTGCCCCAGGTTGTAGTCGCTGGCTATTGAGTAAGAAGTTAGCTGTCAGTTAAGCGTGTTTATTATATTCGTTCGGAATATATATTACAGTTGGAGACGGGGATGAGATACTATAGTACTAACATCCTGTTCCTGAAGTCGTTTCAGTTCTGCCTCGACGAGAGGTAGCGATGCATACGGGACGGGCCTTCTAGGACGAAAAATAGGCGACACATTTGGTTTCAGACGTTGGACAGCTTTGGTTGTAGTACAGTGACCGACGCCAGGTTGAAATACATCTGAATATTCAGTAATAATATCGTTAGGGTTATACTTCATGTACAAGTGTTCACGTGTTTGGAATCTTGACATCTGTGATTAGGTGGTTTTTGCTGAAAGCACTTCGTATTTCTTTCAAACTACTTTTTATTAACTTAACCGTATTTGCTAAATACTTACCCAATTCATCATTGGGACCAACTGTTTCCAATTTCGTGTATTATTTAAAATTAACAAATATTATTTACCTCCCCTTCTTAGATAAAGCCTCTCAGACAAGTGTTGCCGTCTACTACTGGTCAGAAAAGTTACCAGTTTGTGCCTCAAAAACTATGGTTTTTTCACGTAAAGTCTTTCTTGGTGGTATACCTTGGGATAGCACATATGAAGAGCTAGTCAGAGTCTTCTCTCGATTCGGCAACGTAACTGTAAGCTGGCCACGGAGGCATGCAATGCAATCCACCAACACAAAAACCGAACCTTCGATATCCCAAGGTAGGCACAATGAAAATTAACGCGTTGATATACCCTAACTTTATGTTATCACGAGATGTCGTAGAGTATCTGCAGTTCATGAAAGTCGTTATTATTATGTTCTCTGATTTGGATGGTTTATTCATGAACATACAGAATATGCACCAACCAAGGAATAGACCATCTAGCTCAGAGAACACAACATGTATTTGTATGTTTTTACCGTATAGCCGTAATTTCGCACAGTTTTTGTCTGCTGCTTTGCCCATGACTTTAAAGTAGCCTACATGACTGTTTTCACACCGTTACTAGTTTTTCTTCCCTTTACTCTCAAAGCTGAACTCTCATTGATTGTTAACTGTTTTACCTATATGTGGATTTAGTGTTGTCAAGGTCACTTAGAAATGTATATATTCAGCATCGTTGTCCACTGTACTGACTGTTGCTGAGACAGTAAGAGCTCTGTGCTAACGGTCTGTCTTCTCTTCCTGTCTTCGCGGGTTGGTGGTATAGTTGTGGTGGTGGTTGATGCTCTGATTTGTGTTAGAGTCGATTTGCTTTCGGTTAGCTTCGTTACTGGTCGGGTGTGGAATCAACTAGAAATTTGTTGAACGTTGATGGCTGACACTCAGTATCTATGCATCGTTAGCGGCCACAGCACATAGCAGTTTTCGAAATCTTAGCAGTTATTGCTTCTAATTTCCCACCGTTGGTTAAACCAAGTCGCCCGGTCTCTATTGGAATATGGGCTCCTTCGTGGATGTCTCAATGTTCTTTGTAGTTTCAGTTTGATATTAATGATGGATAGTGACTAGCAGTTGAATCCGAGACGCAAATGCTTTCCTGTTTAGGAAATATCAGTTAGATGTACCTGCCTCCCAACGAGTGATGTTTTTGACACTAGGACTCAAACCACTGATAGTCACTACCCATCCTTACCCGAAATTTGTGTATTTCCGTTCTTTTTTATTATGTTTACGAAACCTATTATTTCAGGCTATTGCTACTTGATATTCGATCGTGAGGTCTCAGTGTCTCAACTGCTTGCAAAATGTGTTCACAATTCAATTATGGGTGGGGACTTTTACAAACTTTCAAGTTCGAAATTCGCATCGAAAGAAGTACAGGTTGGTACATTTTGCAAAATTTATTTACCAGTTCCAAATTGTTTTTGAAAATCGACTGTTTCGCGAATATGAACAAAGGTAAATTTTAAACAATTAAAAATTCTCATGACACTAATAAAAGGCAACAATCTGAAGGGAGATTATCCTTTTCATTACGTTCTCGTCAGATTCTACAGTTATAAAATGCATTTGGACAGCGTTAGATCAAGCCAAGTTACGGGGCAGATACACTTTCAAAATGGAATGGGATTTAGGAATTGTGGGGTCATCGATTTTTCTCTCTTAACTTTGTCATTATTGGGATGATACATATACTGATGAATGATATGATAGTGAGTGAACAAAAATGATAACGAATAGATTGGGAGGAGTGACCCTTAGTTTATTGAAGGCCAAGGGAGAAGTAACGCTTGGATATATTCTATTTCTGAGTACAGAGTTCAGGTTTGATCAATCTTCTTACGACAGCCTTCACTATGATGAGCAGGCGTTGGTGAGCCACATGTGATGTAATTTTTGGAATACGATGAATGACGTTGAAAACTTTATTAGCATCTATGTGATAACCCTATGTCAACTAGGTGCGCTAGGATGGAACTTTTCACCACTTTCACTTCGTTCTTTCCAAACCAAGCTGTTACATTTTCTCCCATCCAGTAAAGCGCACTTGCCTAATCGTATGCTATACGTAACTAGTTTCACAGGAACAGTTAAATTGATATATACAAGACGAAGAGCTGAGTTTAGGTAGCCTATCCTTTAGTCTCGAATTGGTATGCTTTTGCGTCAGAGGGAATTCGGGCACAAAATGATATTGTCATTGGTAGATTGTGATTTCCATTTAGCTTTGAGTAGCCCAATTTCTCTTGAGTGATAAACGTCAGGTGCGCTGATATACAATCCTTGAAAGCAGGCAATTGTTTGCCAGTGAGTTGTCATAAAAGGCTTGTTACAACCCTGAGGTAACTGCTCCCCGATAAATATTGAATGCTTTGGTATTTTGCCATTACTTATGTAATGGGTTGTTGATTACAGTTGAAACTTATCTCGCTACATCTACTAGCTCATTGTTATGGTAACTGAGTTACTGACACAGTTAATGACCAATTTTTAACTTACTTCGATTAAAATGTTCACACCGCAGCTAAAAAACGTGATCTTTTTAAAAGATGTGGGAGAAAACGTATGACCTTAAATGAGTCTTGAAAATCCAGTGACGACAATGTTTACTCCTGAGAGAGGTCTGATGCATGAGATTTGTTCTTCTCCACTACCATAGACAAAGAGTTGAAATGATTCAAACATATTAGATTGTTTATTTGATGAGGTTCAAAACGATACAGTATTGTTTTTCACAATTACTCGGGTCATGGAGTGAATTATACTGTATCACTGTGTGCTATATCTTATTGACAATCTCTTTTGGAATTATACTCTACCATAGTGCCAAGATTTTACGCCACATTAAAAGATGTTTTTCAAAAAGAACAATGTAACTTCTTCCAGGACGTCGGCACATTTAGTTCTTTGTAGACCCCACATCTGTCTACTGTGGGCAAGCTTTACTAGGACAGTTTCTTCTTTGTTCCTGTACCGAACATTCTTAGTTTATTGGTTCATGTTAACTCATAGTAATACTAGCATTCCGGCTAGTAATCTGGTCACCTTAGTATTAACGTGGCATTCTTTTTATTTTTATCTAATAGTGGAGTAGATGCACATTTCATTGAGTCTGACACTTGTCATCTGTTTGCAAATGGATCCGAGTTGGCATTCTCACAAAATCTTAGTCCCAGAACTCACTGTTTATGGACACCAGGATGTCATCATCTAAACTAGATAGTGGAAACTGTGGGAATACTGATGCATACTTACAGGGTGTCCGCATCAGCAGTGGAATGGAGTGATGGACACGAGCCCTGAATAACAGTTTGAAAGATAACATCACTTCTTGTTCACTTTATCACCTAGTCGAGGAATGGATGAAATAAGCTTCCTGGAGTGCACTAATGACCATCTCCAAAGATCAAACACTTGAAGAGTTGCATATCAAAAATAGTTAGACAAGTATATAAATATTGTAAAAACAAATAAAATATGGCCTCAAGAAGTATCGGTTTGCTTAGAAGTACCCAACATTCCGATAACATAGATTGCGATAGTATAGTGTGCACTCTTCGTCTAACATATTCGAAGTGCACTCAAATTTGAATGATTTTTATTCCTTTTTCCACTTTAAAAAATCTGAAAAATTGAAATCAGTCACTCCATCCTATATCTGCTAATATACGCCCACTAATTTGTTCTCATAGTCAAATCAAGAGATCTGAATTGACTGTTGAAAGATATGAGAGGCGTACTGTTATTTAGTGATTCTCCTCATGGAATTTATCAAAAACCTTCCGACACGTGGGAGGCCAAGGTCTGACTCATCAGTTCAGTTACCCCTTTATTTCAAGTAATCTGTTCAGGTAAAATACCAGTTCGCTTATTTCGGTCACGGCAACCAGATGGCATCATAAATGCCCACAGACTGAGGAGACAGAATGACTCATAGCTGATTAACAAATAAGGAAAGAGATAGCACTGTTAACAATAATTTTAGGACAAATGAGGAGGGATTCAAAGCTAATACATTACACCTGACTTAAGGAGTGGACATGCGAAGTTCCACTCAAGATCTTTGACAAGACTTAGCTCCAAGTGCTTAAAAATCCAGCCTTAACCAGGAGAAAACTGAGATCAAATTAGCCAATTAGCGGGGAAAATGTTACTATTAGGGATGGATTAATGCATAATGATGCAACATTGGCGATAAGGAAGAAACGTTCCGAAAGACAAACATTATTACGGTGGGATGTTAGATAAATGCTTCAAAAACTTAACACCATCCATTCCAGGCTATCAAGCAATTCAAATATCACTGAAATCGAAGGATGAGAAAGTCTATGACTATGAATATCGTCAGAAAGTTATCTGACTACCCTGATACACCTTATTATTATTTGTCCCTTAGGTTCGTAGTGGAACATAGGGATTCAGTAGCACGTCTCCAGTGCACTCTCTTCTCTGAGATATATTTAACCTGGCTCCACAACAGCCCACAAGCTCTCATTTCTCCCTCAAAATCTCGTTCATATCACCCTCACCTCGGGAGCCCAACTAGTCTCTTCACATTTGGGTCCCACTCGAGTGCTTGGACTGGCGCGTGATGTCCTCAGTCGGTCTTCTCAGTGCATGCCCAATCCATCTCCACTTCCTCCTGCATATTTGTTGAGTGATAGGTTCTTAGTTGATTCGTTGCCAGCCAGCCAGAGTTCCTTGTTGCTTATTCTTTCTAACCATCTGATCTTCAGTAAGGAGCCAGTGTAGGCAGTTGTTGATGAATGTCTGAAGTTTGTTGGAAATCCCTTTCTTAACGCGCGAAGTCTCTGAGCCATATAGAAGCACTGACTTGACGTTGGTGTTGAAAATCCAGATCTTGTTCACGCTTCATGCTGAGTGCAGAAGATCTCCACACTAGTTTCAAGCTAATGAACGCCTGTCTTGCTGTCTTTCAGATCCTGGCTTTGACGTCTTCGTCTGTGCCGTTGCCACCTGTAGTTAAAACGATGCTCCACTGCCTAGATAGATGAAGGAGACCACTTCGTTTAAGTTTCTCCCATTGATGGTGATTGGTGTTTGTTGTTGTTGTTGGTGGTGTTGGTTGGGTATCTTCATCACCTCTATCTTCTCCACATTCACTTGAAGTCCCGTCTTCGCTGCCTCACCTCTTCTGTCAACTTGTTAGTTTTCGCCTGTAGATCTTCAAGTTTGTGTGACATCAGGCACAAGTCATCGGCTAAATCCAAATCTTCTAGGATCTTTTCTCCGGTCCGGCGTATCCTCCTCTTCTCGCTCCTCCCTGTTGGTTGCATAATCCAGTCGAGTAGTCCACAATCAGGAACATCATGGGTGATAGTAGGCAGCCTTGTTTTACTGCTTTCTGTCTTCACTTCAAAAGCATCACTGAGCTTCCCATTGTGAATTACTTGGCATGTGGCGTCTTCATATAGTTATTGAATGAGGCAGATAAAGGTTTGCGGTATTCCGTAGTGTTGAAGCAGTTGCCAAATTACTTGTCGGTCGACGCTGTCAAAGACCTTCTCAAAGCCGATGAAACTGAGGTAGAGGGTTGACTGCCATTCTACACTCTGTTCTTTGATGATGTGTAGCGTTACAATTTGGTCCACACATGATTTATTCTTCCTGAATCCATCCAGCCAGTCTGTTCCGGTGTCAATTTCGAAAGCAGGGCATTTTTATTCCCTCCAGGATGATGTGGCATAATATTTCGCTTGGGGTGGACAGAAGCATGATTCCTCCCAGCTTCTTGCAGACTTATGTCTCTCTTCTTTGGGATTTTGACAAGGTAGCCTTTCTTCCAATCTGCAGGTACCTCTCCTTCCTCGCAAACCTTCTGCAGTAGTGGTGTGAGCATGTCCGCTGTTGTCCCTGTGTCTGTTTTCAGTGCTTCTGGTGGGATTCCATCTGGTCCTGCTGCTTTCCCGCATTTCAGTGGCTTCATGGCGCTCAGGACTTCCACTTTTGTTGGAGGACTTGTGTTCACTTGTAGTCCTGTGGCTGGACTGCAGGTGGTATTTCTGGACGACGTGCATGTGGTGGTGGTCGACCCAAGAGCTTCTTGAAGTGGTCAGCCCATTGTTTCCTTTGTTTCTCTTCTTTCGTAATTAAATTTCCGTCGTCATCTTTTATTGGTTTTATCTGTGTTGATCTCTCCCCTCCAAGATAGTAACCTGGTTATTTGATACAATGTTGTCAGGTCTCTCTTACCTGCAGCCTGTTCTGCTTCACTTACCAGTGTGCCGTAGAAGTGTCTTTTGTCTTTGTGCACACTCTTCTTCACTTTTTTGTCTATGTAGTGTTTTATACATTGTGCTCAGTTCCTCTTCTCGTTGTTCATCCTTGCACTGATTTATCTTCTGCTTCACCATCTTCCTCTCCCTCCTCTATCACGTTCTATGTGCCCATCGAGATTCATTCCTCATCTTCTTTCTTCTTCCTACCTAATACGGTTATGCAGGTTTCTCCCCCTATAGCATTCAAAGAGTTCCAGTGCTCTTCTACACAGGTTTCCTCGGGTATTTTGACAAATTTCAGTCTCTAATGACTGACTGACGTGGAGATGTCCTTTGTAGTTTCGTCCCTCAGTTCAGTTTGTGTTCTGGGTGTTCAACTTCAACTGTGGTGTATCAGCACCAACGTCTGTGAAGGCTTTCAACTCGATTTTGAAGGCAGGTTCATTGCACTAGATAGTGAGTGGACTGAACCGACATCTGCTCCCCTTCTTGACCTTGTGTAAAGTAGACTGCGTCTTCATCTTCATTTTCTTCATATTCAGATGAAGTCGATCTGATTTTTAGTGTGTCCTGGTGTCTGGTGAAATCCATGTCACTTTGTGAATATCCTTGTGCTTGAACACAGTGCCTGACTCCAATCACCAAATAGTTGAATGTGCAGAATTCTGCAACCAATTCTCCATTCTCGTTCATCACCTCACCGAGCGCTTCTCGACTCATGGTTAGTTCGCTTCCTGTGTTGTCCGCTCCCAGTTTGGCATTCATGTCACTCCACCCTTTAGAACTTTGATATCGCCAACTGACGTCTTGTCCAGTGTTGATTGAAGTTGTCTGTGGAGTTCTTCCTTTTCCTCTTGCTCTACATTATTTGTAGGTGCGTAGTGTAGTATCGTATGATTGTGACTTTTCTTCCTTTTGAGTTGAACCTTGCTGTCATGATCCTGGAGGAGATTGGTTCCCACTGTATGAAAGTCTTCGATGCTCTTGAGGACATCATGATAGCCACTCGAAAACTCAGTGTGCTCATGGTTTTCGTCAGGGTGACGAGAGTAGATTATTGACTCCTCTCCAGTTGACAGTTTGGAGAGTGCATTTCCATTCCGCTTGCTTTCGCAGATTCCTAGCTTGTCACTTCAATGCGATACCTTCTCATCTCCTTTGCAATCTAGGCAGCCTTGCTAGGTTCAAACATAGTGCAACATTTCATGTCCCCATGTTTACTTTCGCTTTCATAGAGGGAGAGAAGACACATCGGCCAACTGGCTTCCCGAAGGCTTTCACCAACCGGCATCATTTCGTCTCGCTGATTCCAGCGAGGAATAAGTTTGTTTTTATGTCTTATATTTTGTTTGTGCTTTGAAGTTTCTGTGGCGGTTGGATTGGTTTTACCGGGGTAGGGTTGCTAGCCCTATGCCTAACTTTCCCTCTTTACCCGGGCTTAGGACTGGCTAGTAACTAGTGAACTAGTTAATCAGACGAGGTTCTTTGATACACCTATGAGGAAGAAATTATGCCCAAAATGTTATATAGTAAATAACGAAGGTATGGCTGCGTCCTACATCAAATAAATAACCAAACACGGGAAATACGATTTATAACATTGAACAAAATCTACTGTTGTAATACTTGTTCTTAGTTGAAAGTGTATTTGAGACAGGAGAAACCGGAACGGCGGTATGCTATGAATATGACCAGTAGTTATTATTATCATCATTATTATAATTACTAATATCATTTATATCATAATCGTTGTTATTGTTATTACTATATATGTGGCCAGTGAGATTGAATAGCGCAAAAGGTAAAAATGATGCTTAAATAAAGCCTCGGACCGAACATTTTTCTCTAACTTTATTTGCCTGCATATATTCATAAGTGATAACTGCACTGAATATGAGACCTACTCAACGCTTTACCTGATGACTTTGTCTGCTAGTTCACTCGACTGGTAGGTATCGTTCAGTAGAGGTTGAATGACAACCTAGAAAGTAAGTTTTGATGGTTTCATTTCCTAAAAACTATCTTATGACAACCATCATTACTCCCCAGATATAAATTCTAATCTAATTACAGCCGCTGAATGGTAGGATGAGTGATTTACAGTGTGGCAACTCTCATCTTTTGTCTTAAACTCATTTCATCTTCCTTACAAGTAACAGTTGGATTGTGGTGAGATTTATCAAATGAGCTCAGTGTCCACTGGACATGATGCCCACGAAAGCAGTAATCATTCAACAGACTAGAAACGTTCGTTTTACTCGTAAATGTGTGGTTCCTCTCCGTAACAAAAACAACACAGTATCAGCGAAATGAAATTTGGAAGGGCATTGAATTCCTACTAGAATGAGGATTACCTTCAAACTCAGAGAAAATGAAAAGAACTACTTTGGGCAGTTAGAATCCCCTAAGGGATAGCTCACCTAATCAAACCAGTTGGAATCCTTTGTGGGACATATGTGAGTGAATATCCTAAACGAATCATGAATACAAAAACAGACAGACAGATCAGATTAAAAGTTGGCACAAAACTGGAAGAGTTCTACTTGCCTCACTTCCCACCGGTGTGTGAAGAAGTAACGTGAAAAAGAATTAACTTAAAGTAGGAAAAAAGAAAGGAAAGAAATAAAATTCAGGTAAAATATTCAATTTTTCAAAGAGGACGAGGAATGCATACATATCCGCGGTTTTTATCAACTTTGAGCTATATTAGAATGTATCCCGAGTCACTGATACCTATCACCTCAAGTACCCCAGTCAGACAGCCTACATGACACAAACTATTATTTGCAGGCTGTAATGACCGCCAACACATCTTGATCTAGGTACCCTTGGCCTTCTTCCCCCCCACTTCTTCTCCAACTAATGTCATAAATTGAGCCACTCAGTGGCTTGGTGCCTACAGGACCTACCCAAGCCATCTTAGTCATTACAAGTTCACCGCCTTATTGAATAACCAACCTTCCTTGCCTAGCACTCTACGCCTAACCTCGACATTCTTTTCAGGATGGTCCTACCACAGGTTGGTTGCACTACGAAGGCGCTTATGATGGAAAACCTGTAGCCTCCTCCTGTCCAACACATTCGACAACTACGTCTAGCAACCATACAAGAAGACAGAGTGGAAGCTACACTATGACGCTGAATGTTACAATGGTTTTTCGGTGGATTTCGAAGGCAATAGATACGTATCTGTTAGCAAGTGTCAGACAGTAGTTTTTATTGTTTTTTAGGTGATACCATGGGTTATCAGTGACAGTTATTACGCTAAGTCAACTCCAGCTGCCGTGAACATGGAACTAGTGGTGTTCGTTGGAGCTCTTCATGCCTTGATCACTGCAGAAATACTTGCAGAAATCATGAATGACTTGTTCGGAAATGTTGTCTTCGCTTCCCTGGACACAGACAAGTACAAATACCCCATTGGTGAGTGCTTTCAATTACTGTTATCCTTTAATTACATTTTACCTAAATGGCTAACATATTGGTTAGGATAGAGTCTGAAAGATAAACAGATCAACGTAGGACCTGGTGCAGAAGTGTGGAAATTCAAGCTGCTACACTTTAGACTAATAAACAGGGAGGGAACAATTGGAAAGGTGTATAAAAGTAGAACTGAGTTGTGAGAATAAACGGATGAAAGAAAATGAATATGTTCAAGACCTCAAAGGTGACATATGACATCAAGATTCTCCATCAACTGATTCGTGAGGTCTCGAAAACCACAACCCAGCAACCTACATGATTAAAATCAACATTCAGAGACTTCATAGAGCGGTGTTACACCTTGATTTGACCAACTTCAGGATTCTTTCAACCCAATCATGCTTCACTTAACATTCTATATCCAGGTAGTTGGTGCCTCAGAATGTGAGACAAATGTCGAGGCGAAATCGATCGATGGAGGTTATTAAATCCGTCATATGGATTGCCACTTCCGTCTAGTATCCTACCCCAAACCTTGACAGTGCTCACGCAGTGATTCTATCATATATGAGAAGTAATGCAAAGATATTTATTGCAAAATACTTGTCACAGCCACACAAGACAACACAGTGTAGTGTCGTACAGGAAATCTAACCGGCACCAGAGATGGTATAAGTTGGCGATTCCTGAACAGGTCTTTTGTATCTCAGCTGAGATTACATCAAAATCAACTCATTCAGGCTGATGTAACTCTCTAAGTAAGTGAGGTGGCTGACACATTCAACCACTTCACTTTCTATCCATAAAGTGGGAGTAGTTGTAGACCAGTGCTGGAGCATCCTCTGTTTTTTCTCAGATGCGAAACTCATGACAAACTTAAATAGACTCTTTTTCAATATTTTCATGAGATTCTGCATTTTCTCAGCGTTTTCGACTTACAGGATAATATCTGCGTACTCCAGGTAAACTGGGTATCCTCTGGAGAGTAAGTTAGTCCCACAGTATTCTTCATTTCATAGTTCTTTATTTAATGTCACATCTGTAGTAAACTTAAGTAATAATGGTGACAGTAAATACTGTTAGCGGACACCACTAGTTGTCGTCAATTCACACGGCAACTCATCATAAGCCCTAATACGGCTTTGTGAGTTCGAATACGGAACTTCGATTAGCGTTCTATACTTGCTTGGTACTCCCATCACAGTCAGAGAGTGCCAATACATCTCTAGATCAACACAGTTGAATGCCATCCTTAGATCAAGAAACACAACCAAGTTCAGGAGCCCGTTGGTATGGTTGTTTCCCAAAATCTGTCAGAGGGTAAAGATCCTGTCGGTGCACGCTCGCCCAAATCTCAAACCTGACTGGTTCTCTCAAGTTTTCTGTTCTCAAGCTCCAGATAGGTGTTGGGTAGGTATATAAACCAGGAGCAGGATACGATGTCATTCAGACTAATCATCGTGTGGTTGTCGTGCGATGTTTCTTCTTTCCTCTAGACTGAAGTCGTCAGTGATGCAAACCAGTATGACGCGAGTACCTCTGACTCCCATACACCTCATAGTACCTCTGTTACGCAACTCAGTAATTTTCCTCCTAACTTCCTCAAGACTTCTGGTTATAAGACGCCAGGTCCTCATGTCTTGCACTGATTCCTTTTAGTCTGCTTTTTAGAAATGTCACACAGTGAAACGTTATCCAGTAAATGGTACTGCTTCACTGTGTGACATTTCTAAAAAAAACAGGCTAAATGGAATTACAATCTACCATAGTGCACAAGTTTTACTTCCATGCTACACCGTTTCAGATTTGAAGAAGCCTTCTGAACTTGGAAGAGATTTGGCTGACCAACATCAACGTCCCATTTAGGTCTAGACTAGATGTTGAATAGTCGTAGCACTGTACTTTGATAGTAATTTTCAAGTATTACATAATGCTGACGCCTTCTCCATCCGCTTCGCCTTTGTCACACACCCTTGCTCACAGTCACTTTGAAGACTGTCACTCAGTTTTAATCTAGGCTGCTTTCGCCTGAATTCACGGTGAAAGCTAGCTGGAATGAGTCTTCTCCCACTAATCAGTAGACATAAGGTTGAAGAAATCCATTGACTTTTACTAACTTTTGGATGTATGCCTTCATCACTTTTTCTGTAGAAAGTTGAGTTTATACCAGACCGTATCAGGAAGAGGATGGCAGTTCTATTCGGAGAAACGCAGATTCGACCACCTGAGCAGGTGACGTCAGGTGAACAATAATGGTTAAATTCTGTACATTGATCTCAGAAATGTATGGCTCTTGATTCTAAAGTTTTAGCAGTTGAGACCTGTCTTCCAACTTTGAATCTTCAACGTAAAATGGATATCGTGCTTTCAGGTGACTAGAATTAGTGATATTCTGGCTTAAATCTTTGGTAGTTTTCACAAACAAGGGCGGGGTAGCTGGGAAAACTGTGTGAGAACTAATTTTGTCACCAGGAAGGGAAGACAAGGAAAGGGTTTATAGTTAGGAAGTTAGACTTTGTTGAGCTGGATTTTAGATGCTTCTGGAAGATTGAAAGTAGGTGGTATTTTTCGGCTGTTTGCAGCATGCACGCTATTTCTTCTATTACATAGACGAGAAAACTGGCTATTTTTCTAGGAATACAGAACTCGTAGGATGTTTGCTTGAAGTTGGTCACACATAGTCTCTTTCGTGAAGGCTGAGATCTTAGTTCATATGATTTTAATTTATCCCAAAAACCTATCCCACTGGTACCGGATGATGGCACAATAGGTCACATAGGTGACACAAGTGTTATGAACAATATGCCCAATTTGCAACGACAGCACATATACTCCGATTTACTCCTTTAATGTTCAACACAGACTAGTTTCAACTATGCGCCACTGAAAAAAGATTGAAAAATCAGTACTACACTAAGCCCATTGATGTAAAAGAGACTTTTCGGCACATAAACCGTTGATGTGCAAACATGAACTTACCCAGTCTATCAGTATGCTTCATGCATTTCAGAATTCTTAAGGCAATAGTGTATGTTTGACTTGTATAAATCAAAGCACTTACAAAGTCAAAGCAACCTAAGAGTAGTTCTGTCTTGCTAATTTTGCGACCGATCGTAAAATGTGCTGTGCAATATTTAGAAATTGGATGACGCAGATCTTTTTCAGCATATATAATTCTTAACTGTCCATATCACACAAGTAATCTAGTATATATTTTGTATCCATCTTCTAGGTTCTGGAAGAGTGATGTTTTCCAGTCTAAAAAGTTATGTGAAAGCAATTGCAGCCAATTTCGTACACATTCATAACTCGAAATTTGTCAAGACCATACAAATCGACCCATATCTACAACAGTCTATATGTAACTATTGTCTTAAAAATCCTGGAATTTATTTTTGCAGAGCATTCGAGTGTTTCAGTTATTTTTGTCCAAACTGTTGGCGATTATTTCATAACAGAACACAAATGCTCAAATCACATAAGCCGATAAGGCGTACATACAAATCTGACAATGATCGCAATTTGTCGACTACTGCGATAACAAATAGACAATGAGGGCATCAGACACTACCTGGCATTGTTGTTGTTCTTCTTCTTCTTTTTATAGGTCATGATGATGATGATGATCCTGAAGCACTTCGTCATCTCCTCGTTTTCAAAACACTAATTAGTATTTCTTCTTTTTGTTTAACCTTGCATTTAAATCTCTTCGGGTAATATTTCCCCTTTTCTGATACACTTTCTAATAACTATGCTTCTAGTCAACTACAAATTTAATCTTTTTAAGTTCGTTTTAATAAGACACCTGGGAAGGAGTCAAGTAAAACATCAGCTTTTAATTGTTGTTAATGATACTGATAATAATGTGCAGTCTTAAGTACTCATGATTTTTACCATTATGCTTGTTCGGCCTATACACCTCCATCTGTCTATCTATCGTTGCGTTGCATAATTCGTTTGATGACTGAAAATTGTAAGGGAGGATTTTATAGATAGATACGAAGTTGTGGATTAATTTACCAATCCACTTTTCTCACTTTTTGCATAACAAAACTGCTTATAAACACTTTTTCTATTGGCAATGAAACAACATATTCTCTTAGCTTCACATTTGTATACCAATGCATATTGTTCTGTTTTAATAAAATACAAAGTTTTTAGTGACATTTGAACTTGTTGTTGTCATCTTCTATCATATTTTTTCACTTATAGTCACTGATTTTCTGTCTTTCAATAAGATTGTCTACCAGTCATTATGTGCATTAGAACCTTCTATCAAACAGAAATATCCTGATGTCTACGCGACACTATTTTATTGATGAGACGAGCTACAAGAGGGATGAAAGTTGATTTCGGTATGCTAAGAGAGTTATGAAGAATAAGACGATCGGTGGGATTTTCTATCCTACCTTCAAATATGTACATCAGTTGATCCGTTTTACTGATGATACTAATTGCATTTTAAGGATGTTGAATTGAGGAAGAAACTTCTCATTGGATGGATGAGTACAGGCACCAGCTAAACTGCTGAGAATCAACTCAACTCGTTTTCTTCTCTTCAACTGTTTGGCGTTTTTCTACACTACTTATTCATACCTGTTTCACAAAGACAAGTTGACTCAAAGTACTGTTGATATCAAGTAGAAATGAGTAAGAATTTGTCACACGGCATGGTTACCTGCTAACATCTATGGTAGATGCATAAGTCTGCTAGTTATTCTATCCACCTTCATCTTCCCTTGAAATAGTTGTCCAAATAAGGTCATCATCGAAAGTGACCAACTTCAGAAGAGTGGGGTGATTAGTTCGACTAGAAGGATCTTTAATTGCGAATACATGTAGATCATTTCTTTCCAGTTCATTTCATAGGAAGTTTCAAGAAATGTCATCTCATGACCAGCCCTTACAAATATCACGATGGTATTCATCATGGACTTATATCATTTGGAAAACCATTGAATGTCCGAAGCACTGGAGAGCTGTTTCGTCCTAGTATGGGACTCTTTGGCAGTACGCACCTATGACCACACCAAGTATGATTGAAATGAGTTATTTTTGACATCGATAGGGAAGTAGCAAGAATCAAGATTTCAAGAACATGGCGTTCCACAGGAAACCTAGTCAAAGCGTGATTGCTTACTCACTACCTCTCGGAAATATCACCACGATTCACTTATGTACAGAAAAACACTTCACTGTATTAAAGCATGACACAATTACAAGAGCTTAAAACGCATGGTTGAGTTAACTTCAACAATTTCACTTATGACTTAATATAAGCCTCCCTGACTAAATTTAGCCGGACTGACTGCGTTGAATACAGGACGAGAGATATACGCAATCTTTTCATTAGCAGCTCTGTTTTCTTAGATTTACAGCTGATTTGTCGATATGATCGGATCGTATGTCCACAACATACAGTAAGTGACCATTATGCAACGGCAAATACATTTAGGCTACAACATAAGGGAAAAAGTCAACAGTTGATAAATTTATGTAACTAGACCTTACCTGTGACCAACACCCTTCCCAACTAACTAGTGAGTTCTGAGAAGTTTGAAACTTTTTTGGTAGACTTTAGTTAGCCCTGAGCACAAATGCTTAGACAGTACTGCTTACTTAATAATGATGAATTCATGAATACAGTCGAGTCATCGTACCTTGATTAGTTCGGCGGTGGTATAATCTCTGGTCTTCGCAGTGTGTGAACCATGTTAAGATTTTCAATGTGAAACCAGTTGCGCCTTGATGCAGAAAATGAACAGTCATGAAACCCGATTTTAGTCTTTTCATACTACTAACTCCTAATGAGGCGACGAAGAACTGTAATTTGCTTAAGACATTTCAGGATGACTGCGGCTGAGCGATGGCCTGTGTGTTGAAGTAAATACCCCAGGATACAAACCTCAGTGATGGGGATCATTTTGTTCAGCGTAAACCCCGATAATTTACGACTAAGCTAGTATTTCAACGATTTCGATTAGACATCATAAGGTTTCACAACGGCATAGATTATTATTACTTTATACTATATCGGAATGACGGTTACAGTTGAAATGGGTCACTGTCAACGAGTAGGGGATTTTTTTATTGTGTAGGTAAACAGAATACTTTGGTCTTTCAGTGATATCTAAGTGATTCTGTTGAAAAAACTGAGACACAACACAACGAAATGTCTAAGCAGGAAATTTTGTTTTAATTTTCTATCAGTTATGGAATTATGTCGGAGACTTTCTACAATGATCCAGTCAGATGTGCTACTAGAATGATTTCATGGCACGTACGGCGCTGACGTTACTCAGCTCATAAGAATTAGGTCGGAGATAACATGGAAATATGTTTTAAACTGCATTCTTATCTAAGCAAAAATACGGATGTTTTCAGGTTCACCATATCCTTGAGAACTCCAGCAGATAAGCTGGGCCAATGAAAACCAGGATATCGGTTGAAATCGTAGATACCTATTGCAGATATCGGTTTCAACAATCTGTGAAATAATTCTTTTCGTTGTTCTAGTTAACATTTAGGCAGAAACTGGTGGTCATCAAGCAAAGGTTTTCTAAAAAACTAAAATCTTACAAAGTTGATATCATGACTCCATTATGAATTTTTTTGTAACAGTTTATTTGAGGATTTGGGTTAAATGGAGTCTAGCGGGGTTTGAAATGACCAGTGAGCATCAAAAGACACTTCGCGGCTTGCAAGTACTTTTAAACATGTGAAACATTAATTGCCTGTTTATATGCAAAGCAGTTAAAGTGCTTCAGATATACGCTGAGCCAGTGTGGAGTGACAGCGAGGGGGCTGGTCAACGCAAGAGGGTCGCTGTTGGAAAGAAAAAAGACTGCCGAGTGTTATGAGCCAGGTTTCTCGCTGGCTTGCATTCACTAGTAAGGTGTGTATGACAGCATATTATTATTATTTTGTTTGCCCCTTGGGTTCCTGGTGGGACATAGGGCTTCAGTAGCACGTCGCCATTCTACTCTCTTCTCGGCAGTTTTTTAAACCTGGCTCCATGACTGTCCACAAGCTTTCATTTCTTCCTCACATGATCTCCTCCATGTCACCCTCGGACGCCCAACTCGTTTCTTCCCATTTGGATTCCACTCGAGGGCCCGGTCTGGTGTGTGATGTTCCCACTCGGTCTCTTCAGTGTATGCCCGGTCCATCTCCACTTTCTTCTCATATTTGTTGGGTGACGGGTTCTTGGTTGGTTCGTTGCCAGCCAGTGTTCCTTGTTGCTTATTCTTATTATTCTAACCATCTGATCTCCATCTTCAGTATCGAGTGAGTGGAGGCGTCAGCTGTTGATCAATGTCTGCAATTTGTTGGAAACGCTTTTGATAACGCACCAAGTCACTCAACCATCACATAGAAGTACTGACTTCACTGACATTAGTGTTGAGCATCAGGATCTTGTTCACGCTTTATGCTAAGTGCAGTGGAGTGGAGTAAATCTCCACATTGATTTCAGGTTAATGGAGTCCTGTCTTGCTGTCTTTCAGATCCTGGCTTTGATATCCTCATCTGTGTCTGTGCCGCCTGTAGTTAAAACGATGCTGCCTTAACTTGGTAGGTGAAAGAGACTACTTGCTTTACATTTCTCCTGTTGGTGGTGATTGGTGCTTGTTGTTGTTGGTGGTGGTGGTTGGGTATCTTCATCACCTCTGTTTTCTCTACATTCACTTGAAGTCCCGGCTTCGCTGCCCCTTATGCCAACTTGTTGGTTTTTGCCCGTAGATCTTCAAGTTAGTGAGACATTAGTTATACATAAATCATGGACGAAACCCAAATATTGTAGGATCTTTTCATCGGTCCAGCCAGCCTATGCCCCCTTTCTTGCTCCTCAAAGTTTGTTGCATGATCCAGTCGACCACAATCAGGAAGATGATAGGTGATAGTAGGCGGCAGCCTTGTGTGACTCCTGTTTCCACTTCTACTCCAAACGCATCACTCAGCTTAGCATTGTGAATCGCTTGGCATTTAGCCTCGTAATATAGAATATAGCTAATGAATAAGGTTGATAAAGGTTTGTAGCACTAAAATTGTACTGTTCAAGCAGCTACCTGGTAAATTACTTCTCGGTCGACGCCCCGATTGAAGGCCTTTTCAAAATCGATGAAGTTGAGTTGATTTGACTGCTATTCTATGCTCTGTTGTATGATGATGCGTAGCATAGTGTAGCGTTTCAGTTTGGTGGGCAGATGATTTGTTTTTCGTGAAGCCAGCCAGTCCCGGTAGTAATTTTGAATCCATAGCATTTTTAAGTCTCTCTAGGATGATGCGGCATAATATTTTGCTCAGAGTGTACAAGGACAGGAGCATGATTCCGCGCCAGTTCTTGCAAAGTATGACAGCATAAGTTCCTACAGAATTCCGTGACTTTTTGTTGTATGACCGTCAGCATGAGACGTAAAATACTAGATCTTGAAATTCCAAGCTCAGTAAGGATTGGTCATTGATAATGTACGGTTGTTGGGGTAATATGTAAAATTGTTATACAGGCTGATTGCGCTGATCGTGAATCCCTCCCACTGCCTTGCAACTGATTCAGGAGAACAATGTATTTCTTTGTAATCTGTGCACAACTTAACGAAAGTCTAAGAAATGAATGTCCAAATGGGCTAGTATCCGAATCTAGTAGCTGTCAGATAAAGTCTTTTCTTACTCAACCTGCTGTCATCTCAAGTGTCTAGCAATCACATTTGTGTCCACTCACTTTATCATGTCAATAGATCATACTACTTACAAAAAAGGCAAGTACTGTGATCTTTTTCTTGTCTGATAAGTTGTGTCAAGTTTCAAAACATTCATTTAAAACATGCCTTCACACAAACAGTGTTCACTTCAGTGTATTGGTTACTCCTCTTCTTATTCAACAGAATAAGCTCCTTTTCCGCTTGTTTTACATATTATTCACAGTTACACAGAGCTCTTTTCTTGCTCTAATGCACAGTTATCCTTCCTAGGCGAACTGTCACAGTCACATACTGTTTGTCTGTTTCCACTGTCACATCTTATTTCGCTACCTTTATTACCGATAAGGTGCAGTTCAAATTTCGATAACCTCGACAAGTTGTTAGATCCCTGAAAATTATATTGCCATCCGACGTTTATTCCTTTTATTATTATTATTATTATTAATTCCCGACTTTGTATTATGCAACTGTGTCTCCACTTCATGATTCCCAGCTTCACTTCAGCTATTGTTGCTAGATTTCTCACTCCAAATACAAACTGCTAGCAGGATTCAAACTGCTCATTAACCGCGATTTTTTTATTCAGAGGTAGTTATAACAGTCATCAAAACTAAAAGCAGGCACATGGCTCACCATGCACATTAATATTCTTTGAGGTTTAATGCTAGGCGATATTTTTGAATCAAATAACTAGTTAATGTTTATGACATCAGTGGAATGTCAAATTTTCTTGAAATTCAGGGAAGATTATTTCGGCTTAGATGTACTAGTGACTAATACGAGCAGTAAGAAACCATTTCAACCTACTTTTATACTTTATCAGTAAGATGAGAGTGATCATCTGGAGCAGAAATATGCAGTTGACAGAAGAAATCAATGCTTCTTAACAGCCTATTCTGCATCATCGAGGTGGATGGACCGCTATTCAAATAAGTGAAACAAGAATTTGCAAACTGCACAGTAAACGTTAACACATTTGATACAAGAATAAAGAATCTACTAGTAACCAATAAATGCAGAAGTAGTAGTGTGGGAAACGACAAGACTCAACCGCATGACGGTATAGTAGTTACTAAATGCTATACACATTGCATTAAAACAGTCATTTGCAAATATGCTACATTTTCTCCACTGCTTCTATCTCGATTTGCTCTCAATACGCCCAACTTACGTCTCACCATTTTCTAGGTAGAATATCTACCCAGTACTGGTAATCACCTATGATTTCTGCCACCCTCTCAACACATACTACTTATATCCACTGTTATCAGCAACGCCCACTACACTCGTCCCCCCTCAAAATTCCGGGCTTGCAATCGTGTTGATCGTCTTGGTGCTGTCTTCTCTTGGTTTTCACTCGCTGTTTCGTCTTTTTCCCACTGCTTCCATTTTTGAATTAGGCTGGTGTCTACTCTTTTCTCTTTGTTCCCTTTTTTGATGGTATAAACTCAACCGCGTCTCTCGGTAATGATGCACGGTCCTTCCCTCTTCGGGAGTAGTTTCCTTCTGCCATATTCACCTCCTGACGTATATCCTCGTTCTTTACATTTCACCTGATCTCCGACCTCAAAAATGGTTTCTATTTACTTCCTTCTCTCTGCTCAGACTTTTCAGCATCAGCCTTCTGCTTTTGTTCCACATTCCTGATTACCTGTTTCCGCTCCTCTCTCAATCTTGTCATGTTCCACTGCTGTTGTTGGGGCCAGGTCTTACTATGTATTGTGAGCCGTGGTTTCCTGCCATACATTAACTGGAACGACGACTTCTTGGTTGTTCCTTGTACCTAGGCACGATGGGCTAATAATATTAACAGCAGTTCCGTCTCTCAATTTCCCCCTTTCGAAGCTAGCCACTTCTTCCTTCAGTGTACGGTTATTCCGTTCTGTTAGACCGTTAGTCTGCGCGTGGTATGGCGTCGTTCTTATCCTCTTGATATCAAGCTGCTCCAAACAGGATTTGAATTCTTCACCCTCAAAACAAGGACCTTGGTCAGTCAGTATCATCTTCGGCACACCGTGATCCGCGACAATATGCTGCATCACTGCTGTGGTCACTGTCTTCGCACGTTGATCAGGAATCACGACAGCGTCTACCCATCGTGTAGCATGCTCCGTCATCACCAACAGGTATTGGTTGCCACTAGATGTCTGTGGAAATGGCCTTATTACGTCCACAGACCAGAGGTCACCAACTGCTGCTACTGGGATCGACTGAAGCGGCGGCCGTACATACCGATCACCTTTCATCAGTTGACAATGAGGACAACCCAGCACGTGTTTGGCAACATCTCTCATACCTGGCCAGTACGCACTTTGTCTGACAAGGTCAGCTGTCCGTGAGACACCTGTATGATCTAACTGGTGGCATTCTTGTATCATTTTGTCGCGTAGACATTTCGGAATCACTGCCAACCAGTTTACGCCGTTTTCTCGCCACGTCAGCATTCCATAAGTATTCATCCGTAGGCGCTGTTTCTGTGTCAACGACGTTCTCAACTCTTTATCTCCCACAGACGTTTGTGTCTCTGTCCCTTCAGTTATGGCTTTGATCACTTCTTTCAGTGTCAGGTCCGACTTCTGAAGACAAATAAGTCTTAATGGGTCCCATTCCACTGCAAGTACACCATATGCGATCTCAGGTAGCTCATTTTCTTAGTCTGATCTTGATAAGAAGTCTGCCAACCACTTTTCTTTCCCTGCCACATGGCCGATGGTGAAGTCATATTCTTGCAGTCGTAACACCCAACGTGATAATTTTCCTCTGGGGTCTCTCGCTGTCTTAAGCCACTGTAGAGGTTTGTGATCCATTTCAATATGGAATCGTTGACCGAGGAGGTACGATCTCCACTTCTCCAGCGCCCAAACTATCGCCAGACATTCCTTTTCCAATGTACAATATTTCTGTTCTGCGGGTGTTAGGTCACGGCTGGCATACTCCACTACTCCTCCAGTCTGTCTCAGGACTGAGCCTGTTCTATAATCACTTGTATCGGTGGACACGACAAATAGCCTCCCAGGTATTGGTAGTTTTAACGTCATCTCCTGGTCATTTAGGAGTTCGTTGATGTGATCAAACGTTTTTTGTGCCTCCTCCGTCCACACAAATTTGGGGTTGCCAAGTAGCTTATATAAAGGTGCTGCTATCTCATTGAAATTTTCTGAGGAACCGACTGTAGAATGCTGCTCTACCCAAGAACTGTCGCAGTTTCCTCTTGGAATTCGCCACTAGAATAGTTCTGACCATCAGAATTTTCTCAGCTAGTGGTTTCATTTCACCGGTTCCAACTTTGTGTCCTAGCAACGTAACACTCTTCTTTGCTACCTGAGATTTTGTTTTATTGATACGTAGTCCAAACTCATCGATGCATCTCAAAACAGCTATCATACGTCCTAGATATTCTGCTTCCGTCTGACTGTACACCACCAGGTCATCACCATACACCTCTACGTTCTCTAAATTCTTCTACAAAGCTAATCTTTTTTCCGCTTCACGTACTTTATAGACAGACAAAATTAACGTAGAACCTAACACATGAGTGCAACGGTTCAAATTACCACACTTTACAGCAGCATACAAAGAAGAAAAGGGGTCTGGTGAGAAAATCAAGATTGATAAAAATGCTCCAGCTTTAGAAGATGTTAGACAGTCATTACATCGGTGCTATTGTGAACAATTTCGAACCATTCCACCAAGGGTCTCCAACTACTGATTCCTATCATCACAAGGACCTCAAAATATTGAATTTTCCTTCACAATTAATGTATGGATAGATAGTGAAATATTCACATCAGATTGTATTAAGGACACTTAAATCTCATAAAATAAAGTTTACTTGAACATAGCGAAGTTTCGCCTCAGTAAAGCTCATAAAACAGATAAAAGTGGTCGTTGAACTGCACAGTAGTTTGAATTCTACCCAGAAATGAAATAAAAACACGCTATGACCAATTAAATCAATGCTCTGGTATGTTGACGTGTTCATGAACAGTGAATAGACATTACATGGCATCCAATCTCATCTGACTTGACGTGAAACATCTGTGAAGAGAATCGGAATGACCCACTTGAAACGTATACAATCAGTGACAAATTTTCATCCCTACGAACTCGCTTACTTCTTAGCACACCCGTCAGCAAACGTTGGTGAATCAAGAAGTATGAGAGGTAAATAACCCACCAAACTTTTTTAGTATATCCAACAGTAATTCTGATATCTCTATATCTTAGCACTTCTTTTCAACAAATCAATCAAGTGATATTTCCTATTGATCATTATTTTGGCCAACAACAAATGATAACTTTGACTAATGGTAGTCAACTTCTGTTATATATGTCGTCCTTATCTAGTGCTGTCTAATGACTATGACCTGGTTTAATGGTGATAAAGATAAACTGGGTGCCAAAAGTCAGAATTTACTTATATATATAAAACCAACGCCAAAGCATCCAAAGTTGACACTGTTTGATGTTTTTAATCTCCCACTGCTATCTTAAGTCGCATTGCTCTACATTGGGTGACTGATGAGCTCCTATGCAAATGCCTCGATACAGTCTGATTACTCATTATGTTTTAATCTGCTTGGTCTAGTGGATAAAGCTTTGGCGTTTGAAGTGGTGGGTACTAGAGTTCGAGTCTTAGTAGGAACTCACCCACTAGGGTTTAGGCACATTCAGCTGACAAGCCTCAAATATGACGAGACGCGGGTTCTGGATTCCATTGCAAGGCATCAAGTCGATAAAAATAAGAAATTGAATTTCACAGCACTCTTGACTGACTAATAAAACCAAGGTAGAAAACATGCACATAAATGCATCGGCTCGATCTACTACACTCCATAGTAGTACACGAAGAACAGGTGGATAGAAAAGGTGTGATATCAAAGTAGATAAAACAGTGTCAGAGAATAAACAATCTGAAGATAAAGGCTAGTCAAATACTCCAGCTTCAGGAGACCGATTTTCAGCCATGTCACCGAGAGTCCTCAACCACTGGTTCATTTCATCTCGAGGATCCCAACCAGGCAGTCGACATCGCCCCACACGACTTAGACAAACAGGTAAGGACTTCACTGACAGGTGCCACGTCTTGGTCTGGCCACCCTGAATAATCTCTCAACCTAATCCAACTTCCCCTAGTATTGCACGTCAAGGTAGGTGGTGGCTCGGTATGTGCTGCATCAGTATTCTTAAATCCTTAAAGGCTGAAAATATTAGCTTGCCAATACATATCAGGGAACCTGTGTTGACAGCCTCATGAAGATGATTTCACATACTTAATATCAATATATACCTATACAATGTCATAACTGAGAATAGCATCAGGTATATCTCAAAAACCCGAACGTATTCATAAAGCAAGAATCAAGACCTTTTTAAAGTTAGAAATGGTCATTTTAAAAGCAAGTTATTCACATAACTGAGATTCAGTTTGGCTCAAATATCCGATATACTTGTCGATGTGTTTAGAAGTCAAAATAATATCTTACCAAAATTAAGAGTGTTGAAAATAGAATTAGATAAATAAGTTTTGGTATTCAACTGATTAATCTATAAGAACAACCTCAAGTTCAGTACCGTTTGACAAACGTCGTAAATCAGTTTCACAACGAACAACTGTATTTGGTAGCTTACGTATCTTTTTTATTTTATCCGGGATAATATTCAATTCTTTGGAAATAATTTGAATGAAATGATCATAACTACAGGTTTGAACAGGAGCTTCAAATTCGTAAAAATCTTCTTCCTCAGACTGTGCTAACCTTATCTGAACATGGAAATGATAAGAAAAATAAGAATGTCAATGGGTTTAGATGGATTTGAAGAGAAGAAAGACGATATTACGGTCTCGAATTATTCTCACTTTTAACTCACCTACCCAAAAAATATTAATCAGTAATTACATTACACTAGATTGTTAGTCATAATTACTGTGCAGGAGCAAAATGAAACTTCCATAAACTTCAAATTATACTGCTGCATGATGCTCATCAGTGGCATGTTTCGAGATAGATATCTCGAAATTCTAATGAGAAGCCGTGACCTGTGGGGTCAGAAGTAAATCGGTTGCCATCTGAAGACTATGGTGTATAACCACCCTATACCACAAATCGAAGGAGTAGGAAACCATGAACCACTGAACTACAACCCAGTGGCTGAATGACTAACGCGTTCGCCATCAGACCTGGGTTCAAACTCTGGTGGGGTCGTGAAGGCGCAATGTTGAAGAGTCCCGCGCTAGAAAGAATCAGCTGTCAAGTGTTCCCAAATTTTCAATGGATCTTCAGCTGATTTCAGTACGTGATGAATACTACCTGTCATATATATATATATATATATATATATATATATATATATATATATATATATATATATATATATATATATATATATATATATATATATTCCGCGTAAAGCTGCTACTTTCGCATCATGATCAGGCCCGCATATCACAATGACCCAAATGGCATGAACAATTACCATCATAGTGTCAATAGCTGCGCTATGATGAGACTCAGAAGGCGAAGTCACATTGTTGGCTAGATGAGATAAGATGGCGGTAAAGTATTTCCGGTGGATGACCAGCAGTACCATTCCGATGCTGCCTCCCTAACGGGAAGATGTGATTAGAAAAGATAGGACCCAAAAATAAACACTCCCTTTTGTTCTATGATATTCCGGTTTGTCAACTGGATGCAAATCAAGTAAAATTTAAACTCAAACTTCCGGTTTCAAGCAAATGCCCTGTGCACTCTGCTGCTGTCACACACCATTATTTCCAAGACAGTTTCTTTTCCAGATACCTCAAGAAGATCTACTCTTCTGTGGTGTTAACAGCTGCGAAGTGCTAACTGCCACCTAGCATCAACCAAGTTGCATCGTATTATTACCAGCCTCCTATATCCTTGACATTTAATCCTTTCTCAAGTCTCGGCCAATTCTCCTACTTGACTGCCCATTTCTTCTAACCGCGCATTTCTCGATAACGATCGGGTTCACGGTACAGAACCACTGGTAACCTAAAGCCACACAACAAACTGCATACTGGAGCTTTCAATGTCCACACCCTACGTCAAAACGGTTAACAAGCTTCGCTATCTGAAATACAAGCATTTTGGGCCACAGATGTGGGTTGTGTTTGTGAGGCACACGTACAGAACCTAAGTGCAGTTATCCATATAATGTAACTCAGATAATATGATGAATTCGCAAACTCCACCCATTGATTTTCCAGAGATTTGATGATTGGTTCTTGTGATTTTGTAGATCGAAGTGTAGCATTAAGTGGTAAAGCAGAAGGTGCACTGCTTGACTGATTATTTTGCTGCTCATCACGAATGCACGAAACCGCATGCAACCTGTAAAATAAGTCATGAGGAAATAAAAACTACATCAGTACAGTAGTCTATGCATTCTTAAAGTGAAGAGTGCACCGAGGACGGAAAAGAACCGCGAAAATCACCGTGGTCACTTTATAGTTTCTGTTTAAGCACCCATTGGCTGCAATCCGGATGAAGTGAAGCGTGACGTTCGATTAAAGACTGTCTAGCATCCTGCTGAAAGCCAAGCGTTCAGATCTCTAAGCACGTGAATTCGATGCACAATAGGATAGGTCGAGTCACCTGACACAACGTCTGCTACCATTGAAAATCGAGCTAGGTGTACTACATTTCGCTTAACCTCGACATTGGTTCCACTATACGCTAGAAATGCTAAGAAGATTTCTATGGTAAGAGACTTATAATCGCTTCATACATTCCATTTTTAACGGCCATGTCTCACGACCACATAACAGGACAGACTGCACTGCAGAGCAATACACTCCTTTGATTGATAGTCGGGTGTCTCGCCAATCGGTGCCACGGATGATGTAAGTTAGCAAATGCCAAACGGGTCATCTGTATTCGAGCTGAGATTTCATCAGCAACCAGCCCGTTCGGATTGATGAAAAAATCCCCAAGTAAGTGAAGTGGTTGACACATTCGACCACTTCACTCCTTATTATTAGGCTGAGAGTAGTTGGAGACCAGCCCTGGAGCATCCATCTTACAGGTATATGCCAAACACACCCAGGTTTCTACTCAACACCTTCAAAAGACTCAACATTTTCAGACAACGCAAGAACAAATAGATTTTAAATATCCAGACCATAGTTTGTACCAATATCTTGAAAGAATTTGTAAGCTCCAATATGAAACCGATGCTAGGGTCTTACGAGACTAGGGATGTCGTTTCGACGACTTAGATCGCTGGCATTGCAGCAGAGTGGTAGGTTGAGAAAATTGTAAGAGGCCTACTATTGGCATCAGGAGCTGAAGGTGAACAAGTAGATAAATATAAAAGAGGATATATTAGATCTTGTTTACTACTGGGACCTTGCGGGTGGTTGGCACTTTGCGGCTCCCAACACCACAGAAGGTTAATTCTTGAGAGGAGTTTGTGCGTGACCACAAAGCCAAAAAGACATTTGCTTGAGGTAGGTCACACACAGCCTTTTGCAAATTTGGGATTTTATTATTTTGCTTTTGAATCCAACGACGAACCCAGATTGCTGACAGCGGCATGCTACGCTGTAGCGGGAGTGTGTTATTTTTGAGGTCAACTTCTTCCAACCCCATTCCCGTAGGAAAGATAGTATCGACGTAGTACTGCTGGTTGTCCGCTGGAAATACCCTATTGCTACCACTCTTCCATCCAACCAGCAGTACGACTTGGCAGTCAGAACTTCATCATAGCGTAGCAATTTACACTACAATGGTAACCGCTTTTCATCTTACCACTATCCAACAGAACTTTCTGGCATGGTAACATGCCTGCTACCAGCATGGTTTGTTGATTCATTGTAATATACAAACCTGGCCACCATGTCAAGGTATCAGCTTTCGGTCAGGCAACGTTTTGATAATGATATGTACATATATCTTTAACATTGTGATGGATTTTGAATAATATCGCTAAGAGTCTGCGAATATCAATTCCTATCGCTTCAAGAAAACTAGTCAGGCAACCTAAATCTACCACTTACACGACTTAAACCAACAGTCAAAGAATTCATGGACTGGTACCACGTCTGGAACTGGTCCTCTCTAGCTTTCTCCTAATCTTCGGCTAACACCACGCATCGAGGTACACAGTGGCTCGGCATGCACAATACACATCCAGACGGCCTCAGTCGGTAACGGCTCACGGCTTACTTACGTCCCCTTACTAGCATTATACGCCTAAACTCAATACTACTCACATGATGACCTCACCAAACACAAACAATGTTATGAAAAGACATATAATTAAAAATCTGTGGTCTTCCCATCTAATTTTATTGACCATATCTCACAGGAATACAATACGACACAGCAGAATGTCACGCAATACACTTGGTTATGATCTTACTGGCTACTATCTCTTTCGCACCAGTTTACCTTATGAGCCTAACTAATTGTCAGTCATCATGTGGTACCGGTGCTATATCCAACTCTGTTACATTTACTACCTACCACTGCTTACAGTCATTAAAAAGACTCGGTTAGCTCCTGAACTTCTTTCTCTCCACTTAGTGATGAAAACCAATTCGAATGAGTTATGTTAAAGCAATTATAATAAGATAATATGTCGATATTTAAGTGGTTGAGATCAATCAAGTTAAGGAATTTGAATAGATGGGAATAAGATTTTAAACACAATGTTAGGAAAATTACTGTGACATCGAATATGATTGGAAAGGCAGTCAAAAACAACATGCGATTTTAACAGTAGTCGTCATAAACGACACTCACCTTTAAAATAGACTCATGTAGGCAACTAGATTGGACAGGGTGATCATTCTGATTGATCTTAACGTACGGGAATGAAGGAGACTCCAGATAATTCGGAACAAAGGAAGTTTTGATTGTCTCTTCTTAATAACCATATATAAGACTACAATTGGTAAATAACTTACGCATTTCATGGGGCTTTTTCCCATCGCTCCTTGTAATATCTGGGTCAGCACCTCTAGATAACAAATAGTCGATAATATTCTGGTGTTTTCTTGTGTACGCCCAATGCAATGGTGTCATACCATTAACTTTATTTTGATGATTGACATCTGCCTGGGTAAATTTAAATGCAATGGTTGGAAATTCAATAACATACTCCAATAGTTACTAATTTCACAACTTCCTCAAGAACTCCAATGCTGCACGCTTCATTCAATTCCTCTCCTAACTCCGATTGGTTTTTCATCATTAAAACTGACTAAGTAGAACAGTAGCACTGAAAAGGAAGATTTCAGATACGGTTCATCCACATCAATAAGTATGTTTTCATCAACTTATTTAGTAGTTAAAGACATCTGAAATATATATATGGAATATAGGGGGAGAAAAGTTACAGTGGTATCATGTCATATTTATTGAGACATTTACAACTAGTCCTTAACTAAATTACTCGATAACAATAGTACAACGGATAGACGCATATAAAATGATGAAGAGTAGTCGCACGAACTTAAATAGGCTTAAATCATTACATTTTGTAAGAAGAAAGATATTGAAATCAAAGAGAATAACAAAAAACAAGAATAAAATAGATACGAAGCATGATTTTTGACAATTGATAAGAAATGGATATGCATCTACATCTAAATGGTTTCATGTTTTCTTCTGTAATAACGTGTACTAGTGTCCAATATATCAACGAACTCAGCCCAGAAGATTAAATTTGTAAGCATGAACAATCGGTGGACTAGTTCACTGGTCAGCTTAGCCTTACTCTAATCATAATCGTGCAGAGCAATAAGTTGTGATTCGGTAAATGGTTAGAATCCTAGGTACGGGATACGAATCGGTAACTCGACAGTTCAATTATGCGTAATTAATGGTTTGAATGTACTTTTTACTTTATGTCTTCCATGATAGAGAGCAGACAGACAGGAAGACAAAATCTACATAGGACCTGACATTACTGCGTTAAGGTCCAAAATTGCAAGTCTCATGTCAGCAAATTGAGCGAGAAAGCACTAGAATGAAAGATGAATAAAAAGAAACCAGTCAAAATTACCAGAAAGTTATCATGGAAGAATGAGATAACACTGAATTTAGTATGACGACTATGATGAAGATAATGTGTTGATATATCTGCGTCACGCATCGATTCTGAGCTATATCAACGACGGTCTATAACAACTGGTTTCCGTTCTCACGCATACCCCAAACCTGTAGGTCCTAACACAACTCAGACCAATAGTTTAAAAATACATGGACTGCTGCCACGCTTGTCTAACCTAGAACTATCTCAACCAACGGTGACAAGACATGAGTAACACATTTCCCAGTCAACTGAGTCGACGAAAGTTCACAGCCTTACCAACTAACTCTCCTCTTTTCCCTACAAATCTACGCCCTGCGTCTACACTACTCAAATGACACCACTACATCACGGAGGCAACGGTAGTCAAACTACTGAAGCGCCCTCATATTCTCTATCTTTAATGTCTATATTTTGCAGCCACATGGTACAACAGAGCGAGCTGTGGCTCAGTGGTTTGGGCGGATAACTACCAACCACTGAGTCATGGGTTCGAGCCCCACTTCAGCTACCAAAGTTTGGGCAGCCCTCACACAATACGTGTGGCTCACTGCCTACCGTACGGATGTGCGAACGGCAGCTGAGTGCATTTCTTTTTTTGACAACAGAGAGAATTGCAGCATGGTACACTTGACTCCTAATACACAATCGGTTATAGTGACAGCGCCATAAATAGCGTGAGTTTTTGAAGGCCAATCAAGCCTTTTGCACCCGTGTGGGGATTTTGTCGGTCACTGACTCACCAGAGCTTATTCAACTTCCAAGGTAAGTTAAGTCGTGAACGCGCTCAACCATTTCCTTCCCTTTTGTTAGACAGATACCACTATAGAATTTTTGACGGAGTTGTGGAGATTTGGAAATATTTCAAGTTGTTATTCATCGTAGACTGACACCAGTTGGAGGAACAAAAAAAACCTAGGAGTACTAGACAGCTGCTTCGTCCTAGTATGGGACTTCTCAGCAGTGCGCACACACGACCCCGCCCTTCCTGGATCGAACCCGCGACCTTCAGGTTCCGCGGCCAGCACCTTACCATTGAGCCACTGGGTCAGAATCCAACAGCCCATATTTCCAACTTCTGTTAGCTCACGATATAGCGCAACCGCCACCCAATGTCATCTCTGAGTAACTGTCTTCACGGCCACCAGGCTTTGACTCCACCGGTCACGACTTCTCGTTGGAACTTCAGGAATACCTCTGGAAGCTAGTCACCAATGAGCACCAGTTCAACTGAATTTTTGAGGGAGTTGTGGAGATTCGGGAATATTTCAAGTTGTTATTCATCATAGACTGACATCAGTTGGAGGAACAAATGAGCTAACAGAAGTTGGAAATATGGGCTGTTGGATTCTGACCCAGTGACTCAATGGTAAGGTGCTGGCCACGAAACCTGAAGGTTGCGGGTTCGATCCGCGGAGGGCGGGGTCGTGGGTGCGCACTGCTGAGGAGTCCCATACTAGGACGAAACAGCTATCCAGTGCTCCCAGGTTTCCTTTGTTCCTCCAACTGATGTCAGTCTACGATGAATAACAACTTGAGATACCATTATAAACGATTTCTGAGCAATAATTTGTATTTAAGTGGTGACAAACGCATTCCAAACATCCTCAACTTGACAGAATACTCTGCATGTTGTCAGAATCCGTTGTTTATTTGTTGGAATTTCGATAGCCGATTGGACATAGTTCCAGAAGAATGGATAGGATATTTTTGGAAGTGGCGAATGATACCTTTACATTCATGATGAGAATTGTGACAAAGGTACAAGCTACGTAAGACTTTCAATAATCGTTTATGGGTCCAAGTTTTCATGTCACATTTTAGTGCATGGAAACAGCGAAAGTAGCTGTAATAAGCCACAAGACAAAGAGAAAGGAAACCACAGAGAACAGAGATATGTTTTAGAAGGTAAGATGTGGATGAATTTGCATAACATTCATAGACTTTAAGTCGTCCCACAGACTCTCGGACTAGTGACTTCAAATACGGAGAGAAACGTCATAGATTGGGGTCATACATTAGTCTAACTAACACTAACCTCTTATGAGAACTATCGACCACCTGTAAAACAAGCCCAGCTATATATATACATGTATATATGCATGTATATATATAAAGTCAACTACAATTGTTGTGTAAAGGCTTATGACACTATCCAATTTTGCAGTCCGAAGTACGAGGAGTGAATTTCAAACCCCGAGTCAATAAGCGACGCCTAAACCGAAGCTACACGTGCGCATCATGGCTGCAAGTATGAAGCACGTGTAGAGCGAAATAATTAGTGGTTGTATGATCACATCTATAAACCCTCAATTTGGACCAGGTCAACAAAAGATTTTTGAGCAGCTATAAAACCGACGGTACTTCTTAAATTTGTTCCTTGGGGTATAATTTATGACTCCAATTTAGATGTCATGTACGGTACCATTAATATGAGGATGATTACAAAGCCCCAGACAAATAGTTGACTCCCATTCTAGACATTACTGTCGCAAACGCGATATAAAAAGGATAATAGTGAAAAGACGGGCTTACTTGAACAGGGAATTTTACACTTTAGTGATTGAAACGTTAATCTACATTCATTCACATTTGTATCACCCGATTGGCGTTTTCGAATAAATAGTGGAAAAGGGGAACAAATTTGCAAGTAGTGAGAGTAGGGTTGTGAACATTATCAGCAACCGACTTTAAGAAGAGAGAGTAGTAAAGAAACCCAATCGAAAGCTGCTACCTTGACGTGGTGGTCGACCTTGCTTATCATAATGATCCAACGAGATATGCCGGTGGCACGCTTATTCCATCGGGGTTTTACCATATCAGAAAGGTCTGTTGGATAGTGGTTAGACAAAAAGCAGTTACGATTATATTGTTAATCGTTACACTAAGATGAGGGTCTTAAGGCGAAGTCATACTGCTGGCTGAATGGGGTGTGACAACAGTAAGGTGTTCCTCTTGGATAACCACCAGTGCCATGCTGATGCTGCCTTCCCATGAGTATGGGGAGTTAGAAAAACTAGGCCCCAAAAATAGCAGATTCCCATCACCACGCGGCATGCCAATGCCTTCAGCAGGGACTTATAGTCGGATTCGAAAGCAACAAACCAAAATCTAAAACTTGCAAAAAGGCCATGGGTAACCGGTTTCAAGCAGATGTTCCTTGGGCTCCGAGATCACCCACTAACCCTTTTTATTTAGGTAGTTCAAGAAGAACTAGCCTTCCACGGTGTCGGCAGCCTGTAAATGCCAACCACTCTCACAACTCTGTCAACATTCATATTCCCTCAGATCCCTGTCTACCTTCCACACCCCTCCTATATAATCTTTCTTCATTTTTTCGGTCAATAATCCCATATCATTTTTAATTTCTTCCAGCTCTGCAGCTCTCGACAACGATCCAAGTTCCTAGAATAGCATCTTTGGTCTCCTGAAATCTAGCTCCAAATTATACATTGGAGCTCTCAATGTCCACACCCTCCATCAAACCGGTCAACAGGCTTCACTAATCAAAACTCTGGCACTTTGGACGATGGTTGTGTGGAGTGTTTTTCAGACATGTACACAGGACACAAGCACTGCTATTCAATCAACCTCATCCGTTCAATATGTTTAATCCGCGAAATTCGTCAATTCTCTCTGTCTTTCAGGTATAGGTTTAGCACTGAGCACTAAGGTAGAAAATGTACTGCTTGACTGGATGGAAGTTGCAGTCGCCTATATGCTGTTCGTCTAAACGGTACAATGAGGACTAAAAAGAATGGTGAAACGCCATTCTCTTCGTAATTTCTCCTTACGCACCTAATGACTGTAGCTTGAACGGAATGAAAAATGAGTTCTACTAAAAGCTATCTAGCCTCCTATTGAAAGCCAGGCGCTCAGACGTGGTAGTTATTGCAAATGATTTCAATGCATATGTGCGTAGGTTAAGTCAGACGAAAAAAATGTACTTGGGTAGCACTTTCGAAACCCCGGCCGAGCGAACAGATAACGGCGATCCCCTACTACAACTGTGCTCAGACAACCACTTATGTATGACCAGCACAAACTTCAGAGACAAAGAGAAACATTATCTGATATGTCATTCACCGACTTCAACACAGCGGTGGATACAGGTAGACCACACTACTATCAGTCATAGCTGGAGAGGATCGGTGGAAGACTGTCACTCCTTCTAGAGTGCATGTTTGAACACCGATCACGCGTGTTTGAGCGCGTGTATGCTAGCGTCTTAATGGACGTAAGAAAATCGTAGTGACAAGACTACTG